GTAGAATGGAAACAAACAAAAGATAAATAATATTAGAATAGTAGTAAGACTAAGTTGAAATTGAAAAATTGTATTACAATTTTCGTTTGAAATTGAAAAATTGTATTACAATTTTCGTATGTTTTCAATTTTAAGAATCTTATTCCGATATTTGAAGCTAGCAATCAATCATTCAAGATTCCCAAAATATTATTTGCAAATACTGCTAATGGCATTTGCGAAATATTTTCCCGCACGCTGGAATATTGATGAACTCCCAATTAGATTGTAATTGATATCATTATATGCAAGTATTGTTGTATCATGCAATTGAAAATGAAAAATTATCGATTAAAAATTATACTTCTATTTATGATCGCTTCTTTATCTTTAATGAATGTCACACATTCAATCATATGTATTTAAAGTTCCCAACACTTAAATCAGTTAATAATCTATTTTCTAACTTATCTTCAATCCTTAGCTTTTGGTAATATTTGCAAGAAATGAGATGTAAAATGAAGAAAACTGAAATGCGGAAATGGCATAATGTCTTTGTGGCAAAAGTGAAAGATTATTAGTATAATTAATTATACGATGACAATATATATGATAATGCGCTTTTAGTTAATTATTAAGTGATTGCAACACTTTGTCATTGCTACTATCAAAGAGCACTTTCAAGTTAAGATGTCAAGATAATTGAAGTAAATTTTTAATTAAATAAAATGAAGCTAATATATTTGCAAAAATTCAAATTGTTATTTTTTTGGTCCACCCCTTGAATTTCAACAAGTTTATAGGTTACTATTTTAATTGGATATTATTAATGTAATTTGAAAATGTAAATTTAACTTCAGCCAATAAATACAAACAAATTTCATTTAACTTACCTGTAACTGATCAAAACTATCAATCAAAGAATGGAATGAATTTACTCAAAATTGATTGCTCTGCTAGACGCATGAAATTGAGAGAATTTCAATTGCTAAAGAATTATTATCGAAATTTGATTACAGTAAGAACTAATACAAATATGATTTCAAATAAATGATTTTATCGAATTATAGAATTGAAAATAGTAGCATAACATGATGACAGATAGAGTAAAAAAGGAAAATTTTTATATGCAAAGTGCAAAAGTAAGAAAAAGTATTTATCTGATAAGCTTTAATAAGAAATAAAAGATCTTAATTAATATTTTAATTACAAACTATTACTGTTGAGGATAATTAAATTACTTTCGTCAAATATTTTACTACTTCTAAATATCCTTCATGTAAAAATCAAAATTTTAAATTACAAGTTAGCATAATATAAAACTATAACAGTTTGGTCTATTCTTTATATATCAAGCAAGATATGATAAATTGATAAATATCTTTGAGGTTTATGAAATATTCTTGATTATCGATTTGATTTGTTTTAAATTAATCAAATAGCCATTCTGAGTAAATATAGGTTAGAAAAAATACATCTATAGCCACGTATCATGATAAAATTAAAAATTGCAGCCAGTCTAGCAAAAAGGATTAGCTAAGTAAGAAAGAGATTGTTTTGAAATCAAATTGTTACAGCAAATTTGTTCGATCTTTTAATGATCACTTCATTAAATGGAAGCAAAAGGAAAAGTAGTACTTAAATAGCACTTTAAGTAAATGTAACTCTTCCTCAAATATTATCCTTTCTGCTAGAATAGGAAATTAATGGATCAGAAAAATGAAAACACCTGCGTAAATAAATGATAATTGGTGAACAACGGTTGAGAAGCGCAAAGGGTAATAAAGTAGTTCCCTTGGGGCGCAAACATTAAGTTACATCACCGAAACACATCAGCCGGCATACTACGTTTGTTATTATTATTATATTATTATTATTATTATTGTCGGCTTATTCTTTTTCAATCCAGTCTTAAAAGATATATACCGCCTAAAACAAAGGATTATATTTTGTGGTGTTCAAAAACTTGTAGACATGCTTCATCAAGAATTTCAATGTAGTGCTCCAAAAATTTTTATTCATGCAGCTGGTTCCTTAACTCTTCTTTTATCTTAACGCATTACTGTGATATTTGAACACTTTTGACTTCTTCAAATTAGCGCAAAGATTAATTTTACTATTACTCCAAACCGTTAATTGTTAATTAAACTATTAATATTTTTCTCAAGCAAAAATTTATTTCTTTAAGGATGATATTTCCGACATCTTCATCACAACGATCACTATCAGTCAACATTGCATTTATTATCATAAGTTATTCGTTGTTTTTTTTAGCAATGAAAAGTTTCTTAGAAAAGCATTAAAAAAGTGTGATTTGTGAATTGCTCATATATTATTATTATTATCAGTTATCATCATCATCATCATCAGATCAATCACTGTTGTCACTTTTATTAGTTTGCTAATAGTATTAGCAATTATTTTAGGTTACCTTAATTACTACTCTCACTAATCAAAATTGTAAATCTGTACGTTAGCAATCAAAATTATTTCTATTTATGCTAAATTATATCGAACTATACATCATTAACCATTTTCATCATCTATCTTCTTTACCTTTGCAATTAAGGTAATGTATTAAGGGCAATATGTAAATAACAGATGTCATGCCAAAAGCGCATTCTGTTTAGCGCTTCAATTACAATATATAAGAAGGTTAAACTTAGAAAATATGAGTATAAACTTTTCGATATTACATAAAACTGGCAGCAGTAACAGATATGCAGTACACACCATTTTCTGCTCTTTTTCGGACAAAGCCGGTTCCAACAGGATTTCTTCAATGAAAGCCATACCAAATAGGTGTAGTAAATCTTTAAGAGTATAGAAATGAAATTTGAAGAGTTCTTCCTTAACTGATCAAATGCAATACTAAGTGTGTAGGAGTGATTTTTGGTGAACCGCAGGGGGTTCAATCTTTCTCACTTTTACTCCATGAAATATAATCATTGAAGTAAATAGATTCCGAAGTAGTCTCACCTACAACAGGTGCTAAAGAGTGAAAAAGATGGAGAGACTTCTCAGGTGACATTTGAATGAATACATCTAAGCTTCTTTCATTCCACAATCACCTTAATGATATTGTTTGTTGCAATATGACCATCTGTCCTATTTTCTCATACTTTCATAAATTTTTCAAAAAATTTCAAAATTTTCAATAAATATGTAAAGATATTTTCATTATCTTGAGTTAAAATTTTCTTGAAAACACAATGCTAAAATTCAAAAAGAATAAGTTAATTTATCACATTGCTATAATTGCATAAACAAAAAGATTATCATCCATTCATTTTACATTGTTGCAGAACAAATTTGCTACACAGATATTTTTATCTAACTAATGAATATTTCTGCCAGCAATAAAATCTTTAAATTCCATTGTAAAATCAATGACATATAAATTTCATCGATATGATATAAAAAAGGATAATATAACACATTGCTTTGTCAACAAAATACCCTCAATCTTATTAATTTATTATCACAAAATTGGAATACTTTTTAAATATGCCATTTTGATTTTTACATAAATTTTTCCTGAAAAGTTTCTTCAATTTTGAGATAACAAATTAACAAGGATAAGGATATTTTGTTGACAAAGTATGTGTATATGTTTTATACGGCAGTCGATATGGTACATATCATTTGAATTATCTTTTGCTTCTCTATCAGGTATAACTTTATATATTGTAAAGGAATATATATATGATAAATCAGTAATAGATTTTATGTATTGATTTCTTCATTCCATCCATATGTTTTACATATTATTGTATTGTTGATATATAATTATTACCTTCCATATGTTTCGGAAAGAATAATTCAGGACTTTTGACATTCGGATAACTTTCAAGATTTAATCGAGGAGAAATGACATAGCTATCGAACTATCAATTAATTTTTAGTATTATCCTTTATTTTCAGAATCCTGCCATCTTTATTTTCAGAAATAAACAACTCAAAAAATATATCTCTAGTTATCTCACTTAGTAATAGATCCGGAAAGAAACAGATGGAATGTATTGTATGGGAGATACGTGTCGACAGTTGGGCACACCATTTGCAAAGTATGTTATTGTAACAGCTGTGTTGTTTGTGCACCGTTATGCGATAATGTCGCATAGAGGACCCAGGAGAAGGAAGGAAAGAAGAGAATAACATCTGTCCACGTCAAAAAATGTTTCACTGCCCATTTAATCTTAACATACCGACAAAAAAAAGAAAATTTACTTTAACCGTTTGTCCTCCTTTTAGAAAATAGCAGCTGCTAAGCGTGCTAATCCGGAATAACTGTATTTGGTATCACATTAACGATAAGAATAATATCCGGATAAACAGTATTTTAAACAGCAAAAATATTCGACATAAATCTGGAATTCAGAACATGGAATAGACTAATATTGTTTCGGAATATTAAAGTACAAGAATGGAAATAGATCTAATAATTGAAAATCACAAATTTCGTAAATGAAAAAACAAATCTCAGTGTTGGCTGCAGTTAGAAGCTTTCTATTTATGAACTATAAGCAGAAGTTAAAAAATTAAAAACCACACGTTCCTGATATTATTGACAGATCAATTCACAGTGACATTTTCTCACGTCCTATTTTATTTATTTTTTTTAAAGGATAAACGTGCATGAAAGAGAACCAGTTTCGTTGTTTAGTAATAGTTTTGTTTGAATGGTTAGATGTCACATAATTGTCTCTTAAATATGAGCACATTTGCATACTCAATTTGAGCCTGGGAAAACTTCTTCGTCCATGTCTTGAGCAACTATTTTCCCAGAGCAGTGACCAAGAGGGAGCAGGTGCTGCGGCGAAATGCCAGCTGTTCGTAGGGTGTGGCTATTGGATCGGGGAGGAGTTTCAGAGTCAAGGGGTGTATCATTTTGGCTAGTTTCTTCAGAATACGTGCACCAAATCAAACGGTACTCTTAGAGTCGAGCAGGCGCCAACTTTCATCTCAAGTTCTGCCTGATCAAAGTGTAATTTTAATCTTCCGGTTGTTACTGATAAAAAATGCGATTGCTCGTATCACCATCCTCATCAAGCGCTTCTTCATCCGGTTCCGAATCTGATAATAGCGCACAAATTCGTATTGGTCGAATCAAAAAGGCATCATATGAACAACGTCAACGATATCAGCTCATGAATAGATTACGAAAAATGGTGCCTAATGCCCGAACTGCTACAACACAACTTGAACTGTTGCAGTATATCATCGATTATATTTCTGATTTACAGGTTGGCAATTCATTTACCGCTTTTGTTTGAATTTATTCGTTGAAATTGATTCGCAAAATTCTTACTTTCTGACGACAAGACAGGAAAAGATCAAATTAAATTACTTCTATGTGATAGAGAAAAAACAAAAAAAGAAAATCAATCCGGAAAGAAAAGGTTCCTCTTTTTCTGAATTCTAGCATTCCGAAAATTAAGTATTACAGAAAAAATACTGTAGAGATATTATGAAAAAATATGTCAACTTATTTAGAAGAAATGTATGAGACGCTATAAATGCTAGAACTCAGAAAGAGCTTTGTTCATATTGAGAAATTATGCGTAAAGTATCCGATATATTGTCCCTATCAAGATAATACGTGTCTGGTAGCTCTGTTGTAATTCAAACACAGTTACCGAATTATTTCGTTGATATTCGATTTTTCAGAACTTTAAAAATTTTTATCTATTTACAGAAAATTGTTGATAACAATGATGATGATATTGGTGATAGAGGGATATCAGCTGCTGCACCACTCAAGCAAAACCCAACAATCACTGATTTATCGCTTTTGTTTTCCAAGATCAACACTGCAACCAATACCACATCTATTACTACTGCAAAATATTCCACCAGATATGAATTCCATCAGCAGCAATGTAATCCAAGCATTCAGATTCTGAAATATGATTCTGAATCGGAGTAAAAGTGATGAAAAATTTAACTTTTGCTTCAGATATTACTAATATTTTGCATTATTTTGCATTATTAATCGATCACAGTAAAATTGTATAAAATTAAAGGTGAAATGTTCAGATTTCATATTCATCCTATCCGACAAAATAAGGAAAAAATGAGAGGAACATTCTATTGTTTTAATGTGAATTATTTATCGTCGAAGTGAATTTCCTCCTATTTTATTTCTTATAGCAATCGTAAATAAATATTTGCATAACTTTACGAGAAAGTTTTAATTTGTTATTGCATTTATAATTGTTATCTTTTCAACAGAATGTATCATTTCACTTTATTGAATTCTTAACACATAAATTAGAATTATTGCTGTGATATGGAAGAAAATAAACAATGACACAATTTTCGAAATATCTATTACTTGCAGCATTCTCTTTATTTTGCTTTATTTTTATTGCAAATTCTTTTTTTAACTAAATATTGAAACTTTTCCATCTTTGAAAAACTTTGTAATTAGTCATAAATAGTTTTCGATATTAAGCACTCTTTGATACAGAACTTTGTGAATTATTTCGTTCTTGAAACTTTGAAACCTAAGGTGGTGTTATTTGTAAATTATTGAAATGTATTGTTTGCGGGTTTTTGTTTGTTTACTGATAAATTAATTCTTTATAGATTTTTATGATATTATCTAACATTATCAACTTCTCAGCATTATCTATTTCTTCGTAATACAAAACAGAATGTAGTATTTAAAAAAAAAGGAAGCGAAAATTGTTGAATTAACATGATGCTATTGAATTGACACCTGGTGTACACCTGCTGGACATCTGATGCAAGCCTCTAAGCAATCATGATTTGATATATTTCAATTGTATGCTTAGCTTAATGATTTTCCACTCAACTACACGCAAAATAATTGATCAACAAAGTTTAGAAATTTTAAAAATCGAGTTTAAAATGTTAATTTTTGTGGTGAAAAAGTGATTGTGAGCCTGAAATGCGAAAGTTTTTTAAGCTAAAATTTTTTTCAAATTAGATGACATTGCTAACAATGCATGCCAAAAGAAATTAAATCCTTCATGTTGCAATTAAAATTTAAAATTTAAAAAGCGGTAATTTCGTTTGTCTATTATTGTGCAAAATGATTTTAATTGTAGGCGTTGTTATGATTGAAATATGGCGATAGTGAGGATGGCATGGATGAATTAACTATTTGTTGCACAAATTAATAGCACAGCAGATAATTTTTACGCAAATTTTTCGACTTGATTCAGCTTTTTAGCGCATTTCATTTCCCTTGTAAATTTGAAATAAAAAATTTTCAAATTTCATGCATCAAAATAAACTGATAATTATTACTGAATTAGAATAGAAAGTTAGTAGAATGCCTTGAATTCATTTAAATTTTTGCAAACTCTTAGATAATTATTTTGTTTGATTTCATTTAACTCTAAAATAACCATTGATTTTATGGCCTTTAAAAGCTAGGCTCAAATTGTTGCCCTATGTATAATATATCCAAGAGGATCAGTTCGTTAGCTATATGATGAAGCAAAAAGGAAGAGCAGCTGTCGTAGGCTTTATATATTTCATATGGCCATTGATTTTGCAGCAGAACCAGATGTCCTCTTGCATACATCTGACACCAGATCCGTGAAGCCTGTTACTGCAACTACTATTACTACTGCTACTACTGATGGTGATTACGATGATGATGGTGTTATCTGGAAAAGCCAAGAGAGACAACCACACTCGTTCCAAATTGGAAATTTTAAAATAGAGCCCAGAAGCTACTGATAGGACGCATTCATCGTTAAACATATGCGCTAGAAATCTGTTCAAAATGAAATTTTCACTAATGTTAAACGAATTCAGACCCAGTTATAACTTTAATTTTAGATTCAAATTCAATTCCTGACATTCGAATTTTAGAGTAAATTCAAGTGTTTGAATTTACATATCAATGAAAAAGAATTTTGAATAATTTGAAGTAGCTTACTTATAATGAACAAATGTGAGAGTAATTGCAAATAAATTGCTTAAGCGATAATTTAATCTGATAATGAGGAAGTAATGAAGTAGGGAAGAGCTTATCAATTACTTCATTTGCTATAATTATTTTAATTTTACAGCAAAAATGCTTGAAAGAATATTGTAATGAGATATTTCATCGTATTATAGAATATTTAGAATGGAAGGAAAACTGGATAGAAGTGATAAAGGGAAATGTTTACTTGAGATAACGGATCAGTTAACTTTAGTGACTTAGGACAATTATGGAAGGCATCAGGATTCACAAAGAGGATGAAGCATTTATTACATCTGAGATAACAGAAATTAAAGGCGGAAGGCGATTTCGTAAGAGACGGAATGTCATCATGAAAGAGGAAATAAAAGTAACGGCTCATCCTGATAAAGATTGTTACTTATGCAACTCTAATTTGCATGGAAAACAAATGAGCCATAAAAAAATATTTGTGAACCTTTTATAACCATACCGTTTATCTGACCTTCAACATTATATTTAAAATTTGAGATAATTCTTAGATTGCAATGCTTTTATTTGAAAAAAATGTCTTATATAAATATCGGAAATGTTATCTCCAGGCATTTCCATGTTTTTACACTTTTCATTTCGACTTAAAAAAATTTCTCGTGATGAAGTAGAATAATACATAAGTGATTAATAGAATTTAAAACTTTTCATTAAAAGATGTCATTATCTGTAAATTTAAATTTTAAAAATGCAATAAAATGAATCGTTGTTTTCTACATTTCAGCAACTACTTTCATTTGTGTAATTTCTCTATAATTTGTCCATTCGATAGGTACTTTTTGAAGTGTAAATGTGACCTAAAAATTTTCCACCAATTGGCCTCTTTTTGCATATCTTTCTTGATTGAATGAGATGAATTGAAAAAGGAAAAGGGTACTTTTAATAGGTGGCGGCTTTATTGCGGTAAAGTAAAGAGGACTTAAGTTATTCGACCGCTGCGGCATCTGTTATGCATTTTTTGTTGAGACCATGTGCTTCTTTCTTATTCAGTCGGCATCATTACGGACATTTCTACTCTACAACAATTATTATCATCATTATTGCCACCACAGCTCTTCCCTTACTAGCTGAGATACTGAACCAAAAGTGGCGAACAATTACTATAACTTTCTCTTGTCTCTATTAAACAATCATTACACTCTTGAAATTTTTTTCATCATAATTAAATTTTGTAAAACAATCTTTCATTCAACATTTCATGAATGAATAGAGCGAAATGTTAAAAGTGAATAAAAGTGCCTATGTGATGATAGTAATCCTTAAAGATTTTTCATGTAATTTACAAATTTTTAATATTTCAGTTAAAAAATTTCATGAAGATAGTTGTATGAAAGTATAGTTAAGAGAAGATATGGGCATGAATAGGCAATTCTGAGGCCTTTTTCTTCTTTTTTTTCTCAATGGGATAAGAAAAATAAATTTGCATAATAAAATAATGGAAAGTTCAAGGTGAAGATGGATAACGTGACATTCTTCATCCCATATAATTTATTACGGCCAATGATGACCTTGTCAAGCTACTTTCCATTTTCTGATTTATTCGATAAAATAAAAATAATCAAAACATGAATTAAAATTTTAAACTATTTTAATGTAAGAAAGGTCACACGCACGTGTTTGGTCTTGTGGTGTAGTGGCTATCACGTCTGCTTCACACGCAGAAGGTCGCCGGTTCGAACCCGGCCAAGACCCGCGTTTTCTTGCATGCCTGGAACTCCTCCTGGCTTTTGAACTTTTAAACTTCCGACAATATGATAAAATTAAATAATCAATAAATAAAAAAATCTGTTTGTATATTTGTAATATAATTTGGATTGTAAAACAAGCTTAAAACGACTTCCTGTATTTTTTAAATGTTAAAATTTTCCGGATTCACTTGCTTACAAGAAAATACAATCAGTTGATATGTTCCGAAATCGAACAGTTTTATTTAATTGTTTTGTGGGAAGAACTGAATTTAAAATGCAGTAAAGTTCTATTCAATCATATGTTTCGTAAGGGATACTCCAAGTTGTCACTGGACACTCTATCCGGTCAACGGTGTATACTACTGTTTAAGAAAAAGTGATGAGTAAAAGTTTGCAACAATTTTACTTCATAAATTAACATACTATAATATATAACATTGTCCTGGCTTATTTTTCATCTACCAAAGGAATACATCATGAAGTTCCAGTTAAAATCAATGGCATCAGAAATGAAATAGTTACCGTAATATATTGAGAATTCTCATTATGTTAAGATATTGAAGAAATAATTTTAAATTTTTTGAACAATCATATGTAATTACATTTCGATAGACAAATATACCGCTCAAGGACATATAATTGATCTTATAATCATTGATACTTTCTCTGTCAGTACCCGCAAAGAAACCGGTTCAACAACCTGCTCAAAGTATTTCAATTTTAATTCCATGGATACCGTAAGAAGAAAAAGAGAGTACCGCATCAACCAAATTTAATCAAAAGAGATTCCAAGGTTGTCTTTTTCGGAACCATCAGAGTCTCATTTAATTAGCTCAGGAATTATTTTGAAAAACATTAATTTAGTTACGACAAGCTGAAGGCGCTGTCATTTAAATGGAATATGTTTTCATTTCAATGAACAAGAAAAAAAGAAGAAAAATTTCTCCTCTTCAATTAAATATCATTTTAATTCCAATCATTTTAATTATTTTATTTTTCATTTTTACCATTTAAACCATTTCCTTTATTATTCACTTTTATTTTCCTGATCAGTAATCTTCATTTTCCGGCTTAATTAAAAAGAAGTATTCAATTTTTTTAATTCCAATTTATTGATTATATGTTTGACTATAATTGTTACAGGAAATACTAAGTTAGCCTTGAATACAATTATTCATTTCTCTCATCAAAAAGGCGGCTTTGATACCTATAAATAGTGAACCTTTAAAAATCTCTCTCTAATGATAGTAACCTAAGTGGGATATATAGTGATGAATAAAGGGCTGATCCCTTCTGTTGTTAATAATCATAGACCACAGGTAATGTGTGGCAACAAAGCATATATATCAATAAAGGATCTCACGTGGTGGATTTACTAGTTGATATAAAGAAGCCGGACGGTCATTACTGCATCATTTGTCCTTCAACATGCTACTATCATCCAAAATAACTACACAATAGGATGTTGGATACGGGTGGCCAAATTAGAATGATACATTATTCGATGGTCATTAATCCGTACCGCTAAAACAACGCTATCCAATCACTAATAAGCTTACTTATTAACATTTTTACATTCTCAACTGATTGCGGAAAAATTCATAAATTAGAATGATTTTTATGTTGATAGCTATGATAGCCGAAAATGTTGGAATTTACAAACAATCATCAATGCTTAACATTTATTGATCAAATGCATTATTATCGCAATATTTTTTAAAGCATATATATATTATTACGCTATGCAATTTAATTGTTAAAAGAGTAAAAACTATTGCATTGTGAAAATGCGCAAACTGGTACAGTTGGTCTAGAAGATATGCATTACATATTAGCAAGCTGAAGGCATAAGCATTAGATAGCACCTGGTCATTTTATGATGTCCAATGTGAGTCAGAGCCGCAAAAGACGTTATCCTGGAAAACAAGAATCCTTTTTCTCCTTAAATGAATTCAATCGGACACCTGCGCTAATTATAACACCCACAATCTTTGAAAGCCTCTTTTACATAGATGTATGATGCCGAAATGAACCAGAAAGGGAAGAGCAGCTGATTTAATATCATGTGATACTTTTATTTATATCCGCATTCAATTATTAATTGCATGGATGATTTAAAGGTAAGATAACTGTAAGATACAGTCAGTTTCCTTCTTTTTTTAATTTACTGAAAAATTTTTTAATCAAATTTATGAATTTGTGGAAAAAATTGAAGTGAATACAGTGGTTGATATTATAATGAGTGATATTATGATTGCAAATGTTGCAACTGTTATTGTAAAAAAAGGAAATTCGTTGAATTTGACAAATAATTCTTACATATATTTACATCATAAAAAATATCTCGAAATCAGTTAATCAATATAAAATCTTACAGATATTTAATCAATTAATTAATCAGAAATAATAAAATAGTTGATAATCAATACTGACCAAACGCAACTTTCCAATTTAAACTATAATCCGATAGGCTATTAATATCGCATTTAAATATAATTTCATTTATTATTTATTAATTAGCTTAAGTCAGCAATAAATTTATACATTTAATGTTATTTTTCTTTTTCCCATACATAACAAACTATAAGTTATCGAAAATAAATTTAAGAAAAGTTAACTTTTGAATATTTTATATAAGTAATTGGATAGATTCTATTCGTCTGAAAGAATCGTTTGGAATTTTTAATGAAATATCAATGAACAGTAAAATATGTAAACTATAAAATTTTAATGTTTAAATTCTACTCGAGGATGGAATACTTTTGCATATATCTGGAATATTTGTTGGATTGAGAGCAGATGACAAGCAGACCCCGATCTAATATATCCCAGTGTCGTTATTGGAAGACTAACAGCTGCACAATATAGGCCAGAAGCTATGACTGCTCCTGCTACTACTGCTGTTATCCATCTGGCGTACACTTCTTGGCCTTAATATATATTTGCTGCACATATTTTAATTATGAAATGAACATGTTTAGATTTATTATTTGATTTAAATCATGAATTTTAAAATAACGCTATTTTTTTGCTCTTTGATAGTATCGATTAATATTACTACAGGAATTGATCGTTGTGTTTGAATTCGGTTGAGTATTGAATTGAATTAAGTCGGTGTAAACCAAAAAGGTAGATACCATCTGGATAAGTACTTAATAGTGCTCAGGTACCTCATGTGCGGAAAAGGGGAAAAATTAGTGAAAGGAAAAGAGAGAGTTTGATCTAGTAAAGAACAAACAAACATCAAAGTACACATACCGATCATCATTTTGTTCATCAACAACTACTTCAAATTATTCTAATGGTCCATCTCCAAGGGATCGTGTCTTAAATTTACATTAAGGACTGCATATTAGATATGTTTACATCATTCCATCATCATATTGCAACATTTTATGGTTAAGTTCGAAAAGTTGATACATTCATCATTGTCAGTTTGATTTTAATTATTTGTATTTAATCTTCTATAAAAAAATTACACATTAATAGCATATCAATTTGTATTTCTTACACAAATTGTTCCGTAAATGCATTTCTTGCAAAATGAGATTGCGTCAGAAAGTTGAAAAGTTTCAATCTCACCTCAATTCTTTGAATGTAACTTTAAACTTGAATTACAATCATTTATATTAATTCATTCGAATTTAGATTGCATTTTGTGTATATGTCTTCCATCTTGAGTTTAATTTTTAGTTTTAATTCTTAAAATTTAATTCACATATTTTCAAAAGCTGTTTTATCCAACCGTCGAAAGCGCTATTGTTTACAAATAAACATTAAATTGATTGCCTGATTACAACTGTGCTGATATCATAGTACCACAATAACTTCTTCAGGTGTTGCATGCTTATGTATGTAGTGTTTCTGTTTGCCAGTACGCATACCTTTACATTTGATGACAAGTACAAACGATCTCGTTCCATACTACTGACCTTCCCCATACTTGAAACCATTTTTCTATTATATATTTCCTAACATATTTTTGGCTTTTACTACCATGGGAAAAGTATATGCAATTAACTAAATTTGTTTTAAAACGTTTTTACTTAAAATTTCTTGATTTTATTAATTTAATCGTTTTTAATTATTATTTTAGTACCTAGTTAAAGTTTCACTAATTATAATAATTTCTTTGAGGAATTTGATCTAATTGCTTCATATTTAATTTCAATCAAAATTTTATTTAAAAAAATTTATTTCCTAACCAAATTTTTGCAGTGACTTAAAATACTCAAAACGTTTACCAAAAATGCATTTCAATTTCGATTTTTAATTGTCACAGTTTTGTTTGACGTATAATTTCACCACTTCCCATGTCACAACATATTCGGGCGTGGTTACAATGAGAAATAAAGAAGAAAAGAAGATCGAGTTAAGAGGCGGTCATTGCATTTCACTAAAGCGTCGGTTACAACAGGACGAAAGCACACCGTATCAATTAGTAGTGTATGCAGTAGTTTCCTTCCCTCTTCTGGAACACATAATCCGGTATTTCCAATTGATCCGATCGATTCGTTTACTCACTTTTTTCTTTTCTTTGTTGGAAACTAGTGAAATTAGACTTGTGGGAAGGCAGTAAGACATCTTTCACATTATTAATTACTCACGCCAAACATTTTCGTTTTTAATCTAATCGCCACCCTGCAGTAATTTCAACAAATTGGTCGAATGCACATAGTTTGAATTCGTTAAAATTTCAATATTTGCTTAGAACTTTCATATTCTCTTCAACTATTTTCATCGTATTTTACTATATTTTAAATCTCTATCCTATCAATATCTACCAGTCTAATGAATTTTTTTTGCAAAAATAAAGAGTTAAAATTATTTCAGAAACTTATCATGTCTTTATTATCCTCACTGTCATCATCATTATCATCAGCAGAGGCGACATCTGTACCATCAAAACTATCACCATCCACATCATCGCAGTTTTCTTCTTCGCAATCATCCAAATGTAAACTCTCAGAATTTTATAAAGTACCACTGCAAGGTGATCGCATAAATAAAACAGCATTCAAACGACGTGAACACAAGCGAACAATTGCTAAATTACGTCGTATGTTACCGCATGAACAAAATGTAATACAATGCTCAGAGTTGGAGCTTATCAATCACATCATTGATTATATCATTTCTCTCCAGGTTCGATCGTCAATTTTAATAACATTTTAATTGATTTTACAATTGTAACTATTCGCTTGATAAAAAATTAAGAAATAAAATTCAACCGGGATGAGAAGATATACAGAAAGCCTAGAAATTCTATTATGCACTTAGGAGACTAACATTATTTTTTTTTAAATAACAAATTCAATTTGATTTATTTTAATCCAAATTTAATTTGAACTTATATCTTCATTCAAAAATATTAATCTAATGGCGAATTTTAGGAGATGTTACGATCTCAAGAAAATATACCTGACGAGAATCATTCGTCAACTATCGATATTGCTAGTCTGAATAGAGCACTATCACGGTTTCATTTATATACCAATAAACGACAACCTTTGAGGCCCAGCAAGCAATTACGCATTTAGAAATATTATTTTATAACTCAGTCATTGGAATGTAATCATAATTCAAACCTTTCAAAATTAAAAGATTTGATTTACATTCTGCTATGAATGCAAATTTACCAAATTTAAACTTAGTTTTATAACTTATCACATTATTATTTTTCATTTTATACTTTTGATTTATTCCTAACTTTGTTTATTGAAGTTATAAATTATATGAATTGTTTTGTTTTTAAAAATAAAGAAATCTTTACAGATATTTTGTGACAAAAATCCCATTCTAAATAATTTGCTCAAAAGTTGGCAAATTTCGACTCAAAAAAATTCTGAACAAATCGAAATTCATAAATACATTTACTAGGAGAAAATTTCCATCGGTTTTATTTTTATTTAGCATAAAACACTTAAATACAATTAAACTCGAATTAATTTAATCCATCGTTTTGCGTGCTTAGTACTTATTACATAACTTTATAATAAATGCAAATTAGCCATACGGTATGAAAGATGGAAAATATTTCAATTTAAAATATCATTTATTTTTATCGAAATTTCAAATAAATTTTATCTCTTATAAACTTCTTTATTAAGAAAAGAGAGTATCAAAAGAGAGTACCATTAGTAACCTGAAAATTTTTTTGTTAGGATTTAAGACAAATGATGTTGTTGACATATGGTGTAATGTGCAACAGTTACTCTACTCAATTATTTCCAGGTGCACTGCACAGGTGTCTTCATACTTCACTGCTCTTACAACAAGTTTTATTTACATCCCGCATATTTTCAATAATCCATAACATGCATTGTGCTGTATGAGAGATTCCGATAATATGTTACATTTTTGAAGTTCATGCACCTGTTATATTGCACCTGGTTGTAGAAAATATATCTGATATCCATCATTGTCTCGTCACTTTAGTTTTGCAATATTACATAATTAACAGTAATTAATATACAAACCTTTTATAATTAATAGTTAGATCTTTTCATATAGTACTCAAATAATATTCAAATAGTATTTGTAATTTCAAATGTTTATTAAATTTGAGAAATCTCCAAAAAATCATAAGCTTAAAAATTATTTAAACCAAAAATTCAGAAAATCAAAAAAGATTGTTTTGAGCAAATAACAATTACAATATATTTAACTATTCAATGTGAATACGAAAAATATCTAATAGTATTGTAAGCAATCATAGAAAAATGAAATATATTAATTAAGGCAAAAAGTTTTTGTAAGAATTTCATCAAAACTACAAAAATACTTCATCAACAATGAATCATCTATTTTCATCCATTACAATTTAACAAAGTTTAAAAATTTTTAACTTTGCAAATTAATTTGCATATTTGTTAAACAATTTTGTATTTTTGAAGTGCCAATAAAACATTGATGTTTATTTCAGCAAGTTTTTAACAAAATTTATTTTAATATGTAAGAGTACAACGATAATTTTGTATGTAAACAAAATTCGAAAAATTCAATTAAAATTTATGATTGACTTCTTTGAGGTATCTTATAATTTATGCTTCTCGCTATTTTTATTGAAATTTAATTGCAAATTTAACAATAACAGCAAATATGTTTTATGAGAGGAAGAATATCCATAAATATTCAATGTGCGTAAGGAAATGCAGTACAAATGTAAGGAACAAATAGTCATAAAAGAGGGTCATCGAACAATTTGCGGTCTTTTTGAAAAGAGGTTTGACTCTACTATATCGATGTCCACCTATTGTCCATTGTTTCTCCGCTTCCTGAATAATTGCCATAGTCTAATAATCGTGAATACAACGACTAAATGAATGTTCAATTCTCGCATGAAACCGTTTCGCGGTATCTTTGTTAACAGATACTGGTGGCGGTGTTGCAGTTAATTTAGAAAGTGATCGTTTTCCTTTCGATCAAATTGTCGAAAACTAATTGACAATGCCGAATGAGCATCAATGATGTTTGATTCTTTTTGGATGAAATTGAAATTGCAATGGAAGATATTATCGTGTTTAATTTTGAGTAAACTTTATGCGCTATTAATAAATAAATTTCTATTTTGTAAATTTCAATTTAGAGTTTAATATTTATTTTTCAACTTTATTGCATATGAAATATATGCAACACTCTTAAGTTGTCTATTTGTTATTTTCAAATGCATTGCTAATAACAAATAATTGCAATAGTGATCGTAACAATTTCGAAAACAATTGTTTAAAAAAATGCTTCGACGAAATTTTTAACTAAGCAAAAAAAATATTGCACTATAACGGATCTTTCATCGGTATTTAACGCCTTAAAAGATCAACAGATGAATTGACTAACAATTGCTATTATTTTCCAAATTTCAAACTATTCGTAGAAATAAATCATCAAATGACCACTTACATATTGACCATATATCTGGTCAGTCTGTTCGAGTATTTCATAAAGTAATTAGCATAAATGTCATTGATTAGCTCATTAATACTTGGTTCAATTCACATGATGGATGTTTTTGTTGATGTATAAGTGGAATAGGAAGAAAAAGAGAAAGTGAATTTGAATGATGCAACAAACAACGCATCATCCTGAAATGAGTATAGTCATCAGGAAGTGCTGTTCCCGAGCAGCGGGTGGTCTCATTTTCCATCCTTACAATCCTATCATTCAATTCTTTTCTAATGCCCCGAGAACACATGGAATAACCAGATGCTACCGTTAATATCAAGCATAATCAACATAACATTCATTTTTAATTTCAATCTTTTCATTGTCATCACTGATCAGATCATTTACTGTCAGTCCCAAAAAAAATTCAATTTATGCTAATTTTTGCATTGTGCCAAAGGAAGAAGTTTAAGTTGAAAGATATTCACTGATATGATATGATGAGAATATAATTTTGGAAATAAATAGTAAAGAATTCTTTCAAAGTTAATCCAAATAATTGCATCAAACTATTTGAAAATAGATATTCTTGTAATTTCAAGTTTCAAATAAAATTATTTATGTGCGACTGTCACTTGACATTGTACTGAAGGAAACGAAATTTACACAAAGCCTTTATTTGAAATGCTTCAGTGCATTTTAATTATTCAAAAATATTCATATATTCCGATATTTTTTTTGCAAAATTCAACGAAAGAAAAGAAAGAAAACTAAGAAATGTCATAAAATAATGAATGCAATAATTATTATTACATATTTATATTTGAACAAACATTTCAGTTCTTAAAAAAAAGCTATCATTATCTTTAGGTCATCAGAAAATGATAGTTTAAGGAGTAGTCGTAAATCATCCTGTAAACATATATTATGCGACAGGGTCAAATGATGAAATATAATGTTGAAGAAAGTGAATCAAAACATTTCTCGCTTTGTTATTATTTTGGAAAAATAAAAAGTAATCAAATAATAACATCATATGAAATATTCCAAAAATTTGAAATTTTCATCCGTATTAATTGCTTTAATTAATTATTTTTCGTATTAAAAACACACAGATAGTACTAATTTTATAGTTTGAAATGGATTTTAATTTTTTCCAAGTTTATCTTAAATTTGGAATTTTGAGATAGTTATAATTTTAAATTAAATATTCAGCATAAATACTTTTGCAAATGCTGCTTTTATGTTTTTTGAATTAGCTTTATTCTTTCTTCAATGACTGTTGCATCAAATATTTTTATGTTGACATTTCAGGTCAAATAAGACAAGATTTAAGTAAGCACTAAATAAATTCTGAAAAATTAATGTTTATAAAGTATAGGAGGATAATTATCAATACATCACCGTAGTACTTCATTTATCTTCAGCATGGAAAAAATGATGAAAGAGGAGGCACGACCTTATCGTAAAGTGTCTACGATAAATCTTCCAGCAAACAAAATAGTGAGCGCACACCTGTGCAGCTGCACACATTATCGCGATGGGAAATCAAACGCTGTTGCACTTGACTTTAACCTCAAATTTGCATATCATTTCGTAGATGTACGTGGGAAAATAGTAACGATAGTTTTATTACAAAGATAAATATCAGTACTTGTGAGAAATATAAATCATTCATGAAAGTAATTTAAAAATTTACTTAATGTAAATATTTTATTTTGAAACGATCTATATTTATAATTTTAAGATTGCTTTCATATTAAAACTTCATATTACATGTATTTTATTTGCAAATCTTCTTAAAAAGAAATATCGTTCTGGTTACTGTAAGCAAAAGCTAAATTTACCTTTACCTTAGCTAATTAAAAGAAAAAGGAAATCTAACAGAGAAATATTACTTTTTTTCCCAATCAATTTTGCACTGAATTATTCGTCTTTTCAATATATTTTGCTGCTTACCTGTTTCATTCCATAGTTTAATTTATTTTATTTTCGAATTCACTTACAACAAACAATCTCTTTAATATACAATTCATTCTTATCTTTTCTATTATAAAGCTTCTTTCTAAATTCTTTGATCAAATATTTTAACTTGATTACAATTATTGAAAATAACATCTATGATTTTCATCAGGTGAATATGCTTTCCTAACCAATGAATCATTTAGCATACAACAGAATCATTAATCAGAGGTCATTGCTGGTCAAGCTTGTCTTTTGGCATCGAGTTTCTACCGCCTTGTTGACATTTCTCACAATCGTATAACAAAAAAGGCTTTTGTTCGAAAGTAATGAAAATATTTGCAAAGCTATTGACATTAGAAGTGCTCTGGGAATAGGGCACTGTATAATTTAACATTTCATTTTTTAGATCTTTCAACTTAATTCTTCATTACAACTATGTTGAACAATTTTTGTGAGTAATTCTAAAAAATTTTATTTCTAAAATTTCACTTTTACAGTGATCAAATTAAATAAATAAGTAACGAAAAAAAATTTGTGCAATGATAATAAATATTAATGATGAAAGAATTCGATAGAAACAATTTTATGGACGTATCTCCTCGAGTAGTATCTGCCCTTGAACTTGCGCAGTCATTATCATCGTCCATTATCATCATCGCTTCTCATTGCTTCCTAAATTTTAATCTCTTCCTACTCAGTTTGCCTATAATTACCTTTACCTTCATATCTCATAACTTCGACAATTGAACGAAAGGAAGAAAGTCGGCTTAATTATCTAATTAAATTATTCACAGAAGCAGCAATTGAGTTATTGATAAATTTAAAGTTTAAAAATTGAGGTTCAATTTGAATTTCACACAACAATCATTCTTACTGCCATTGCAATCATTAACAGACAAATAAATTCCTCGAAACCTTAAACTTTTTCCGTTGTTATCATAGCTTTGCAAAAATATTCATCATAAGCATATATATTTACCAGTCAAATAATCGATTTTATCTCTTTTTTCCTTTTTCAAAATTTCATTTTAAATGTCATGCAATGACCTTTAAACTATTAAGAGAGAGGGAAAAGGAAAGGGAAAGAGAAAGAGAGGGAGAAAGAGAAAAGGTTAATTACTTTAGCAAAAAAACGTAAGGATGATTTGGACGGATTTTTCTCCTTTCAATTGTAAGTATGTGAAAATTATTAGATAAAGAAAAAAAGGAAAGAAGAGGGAGGACAGGAAGAGATTGAATTTTGACAATGAAAATTTTAGTGAATTGAATGAATGAATAAATGATCAATTTCCGATTCTTTTAATAGCCAAAAAGTTGAATGAAAATGTCAACGAGAGTAATTACGGAGCTGGTAGGAAGGAAGGAAGGAAGGAAGGAAGGAAGGACATTTGAAATGAATCATTTCATTCAATTCAAACAAACAAAAAACAAAAAGTGAAAAAGCAAAATTTTAATATTTCGTTTAATGAAATTTTCTTTGTTGAAGATTTTCTTCTGATAATAATTTTATTATTTTAAGATTTAATTGTTTGTACAAAAAAAGATCTATCATTTATTTTGCTTTTCATATGCAAATATTATAGAATAAGCATAGATATGGCATTTATTGCATTGGTCAGATTCGTTAATCTGAAGGAGAAGGCCAATAAATATTTAACTTACTGAATATTTTTAGTAACTAACAAGGTCATCGTAAATCCGTAATGCAAATAAAATCTAAATGACTGTTATCTATCGCTGGGGTTATTTCCTGAGAAATTATAGAATTATGGTGGATGTATGTAGCACAAGTTTTTATCAACTTTTATGGAATTAATAATAGTGAAAGAAAATTAAATCGAAATCGAATGCAAATTCTTTTCTCTTATATAAACATAACTATTTATAACATAATAAACAAAACCATTCTTTTTATGATTAAAAATTAATTACTTTGAAATTGGAAATGTAGAAATTTACAATTATATTTTTGTCTACCAAATTTTTGCAATGATATATTTTACATTTGCATTATGCAAAAGCTGCGCTTCCATAAATCAAACTATAATCTTTACGACTATAATCTTTATTTTTTTAAAATAATTCGTTTAAGTCTGTTTTATTTTATCATTATTATCACTATATCTGATGAATAAAACTGAGGAACAAAAATATTTTGATATACCATTGCATGCTTAGATATACTATTACAGTATTTCTGCAAGTGCATTGAATGCATGCATCTGTAAACTGCATATGAAATGCAATGAATGCATGCATCTGTAAACAACATGCTAGTTTTCAATATGCATTAATAATAACATGCAAATTGAGCTTATTTTAAAGCAGTCATTATTGGTTGTTGTTTTGTGTGAAAGTTAGTCCCTTCAGCTAATGAAGCGACTAATGAAGAAGAGCCTTTTTAGATTTGCACTTCATTGCTTACCTTTTTATTGCCAGTTGCCAAGCTCATCTTCATTCATTGTAGTGAGGCAGAAATTTGTCATTAAATTAACTTAACTTTATGATTTATGTTAGGTATAGATTTTTTAATCGAATGTTTTGAATATCATGAGCTGAAATATTACTACTTCTTGCATTTTTTCCAGATATATTTTTGATAGATCAATCTGAAAATATCACTGCTTGAGAAACTATTGAAATCATTTCATCACTTTTAAGGAAAACACTGACTTAATTTATTCTCAAATAGACAATTATCATCCTTTGTAAAATTTTTGAAAGCTTTATTTTGCAATTATTTCATCCTAATTATTGATATTTTTAAGATGAGTGATTAGATAATTGACTGTAAACTTTATACGAATTTAATTCAACTTTCATTCAGCTAACTTTTGTCTAACATCTCTGTGTATCTGCAACATTTTTGCGACAAATTATATTGGTTGTGATATTATTAGTACGATTAAGTTATAAACTTTAACTGATACAAAATTTCAAAAGTTGAATTTTATCTCAAAAATGGAAATGAAAATGATCGTATTATTTGTTACATCTGCACTGTTTTGTGATGCAATTAAACTTGGCATTTTGGAAAGTGATCGAAATCTTGTGCATATATGTAAAATGGCCTTAAAGGATGGTCAAAATACTGGACAATGCACTGGCAATACCACCTGGTATGTCAATACATTTTCTACATTACTCATGGAATAGTATAAATAATTTAAGAAAAAAAATATCATCAACAGTTAGGCATACATCATCATTATATCGTATGACAGAATTAATCCTGTAAATGTTAATCTAAATCACTTAAATTCAATGAAGATCAAATGTCTGAAAATCCAAAAATCAATCAATACCATATTTCACTGCTGCTTATTCCTAAAATATTGCGGAATAATTCCAGAATATTCTGAACCGGTATTTTATAGTTGAAATTCTTCGACAAAATTCGAATGAAAAGTAATTTAGGGTATTCGATGCTCCGACATGTACGACTAGTAATCCAGCAAAGGGTACGGCTAGCGCTATCGCTTTTCACTTTAAGGAACATGTAGAGGTTACTTTTTAACACATTTACTGCTATTCGTAATTACTATCATCTTCTTCAGATATCATTTAATACAATTTCAAGGCATTCATTGATTCGAGATGTGAGAGTGAAATGCTGGAAATAGCTAGCCTAGCTCGTTTCTGGAATTCTCCAGTTATGGTACGAACTGTTACAAATCCCAGCATTACTGATCCGAATCTATATCCCACTGTTGTGCAGTTTGGTCACATATCTACAATTGATTTCACATACGCTATAAAATCTCTTGCTGATTACCTTAATATCACTTCGGTTCAGTAATTTAATTTTTTTAAAATTTATTTGTTATTTCTTGAATTCTGCAAATTAATCACTTATATATGAATCTTGAAATGAGACAATAATTTTTCAGACATAAATTCCTATTTTGATTTTAATTAATTTGGTTCTAATATTTGCTTCGCAATTCATTTCTAATTTCCCAATTTAAATCCATCAATTGCAACTTGATTTAACAGAATGCTAATTTCGATTCTTTTGTGTGTTATTATTTCGTTTCAAGTGTGGTTCTTGTCTACTGTACTTTAATTCGTGTAATTAGTTCATCTCACTATGTTCAATTTCAATTTAATTTAATTTCATGTGTCTATTTTAATTTTAAGTAATCCAATGGTGAAAATCATTGTTTAAAAAGCAAAAAAAAATGCAGTAAAAGGATGGAAATCTTCCAGGTAGTTCTGGTCAGCTCTATTGGAAGTAGCTTCGACCATTACTCAATTGCTGCTGGAATCAAGCAAATTGTAAACAAACAACATCCATTTCATGTAGAAAAGTTCATCGAAATTGATGAAAATATGATGATAGAAAAGGAAGTTGCTGCAGAGAATCTTAGAACAACTACAAATAGTAAGCATTTAGCTATCTCATTTTTTCGGCACTACGAGAATACCGGATGATATGTATTAAATGGATTAGAGAACATCAAAAATAACAATATTTTTAGGCTATCCTAACCTATCGTGATTGCTTCCATTTATAAATGCAACTATTTCATGTCTTACATATTGAATAATAAAAAACCGTTCAGGTTATCCGATGAATGCATATAAGATTGATTACCGGATTTAAGCTCTCCTTTACTTTTATAAACAAAGTCTCTTTTGTCATTTAAATCTTGTTAATCAATTTGCTCACTAATAAAGCTATTAGATAATTGAAAAAACCTAATTTAATTGGTGACAGTATTTCATATTTCTTCTTCATCTCATAAATAAACAAATAATATATCCCAATTGATTTATCTTAAAGAAAAAAATTAAAATTTGGAGCATAATGAAAGTATTAAATGGTGGCATTCAATTTTAGTGATCATTATTGGAAATGATTTTATAAATTTGGAAATGGTTCTTCATAATCTTGAAGTTACCGCACTAACTGATGATCAGTACATGGTAATTTTAATATGCAATAAAGTTAGCGAAGTATGTACCAATTCAGTAAAAGATATCATCACTCGTGCTAAGATCATTGTTGTAAGTTTGTTTTTTGTAATAATAATAATATAAAATTTTTAAACTGAAAATGAGTAATGCTTTTTTGTGACATTTCCAAGTTTAGTGATAACTCTAACTAATAATGAGTCATTCCTTCAAAAATGTGCAAACTGAAAAACTTTAAGATTTCAGTAATCATTGATCATTTTTAGTTGGCTCCAATAATTGAGGAATATAAATCAATCGAAGATAAACTCAGCAGACGACTCAATTTCGTAGTAAAAAAGGTGCGTTTGATAAAAAAAAAAATCAAACTTGGAAAGAAAGTGAGAAACGGAGAAAGATATGATAGGAGTAATTGCTGTAATTACCGTATATGAAAAGCTAAATATCATAGTACATCGTATCATTGTAAACCATTTGATAAAAATGTTTTAATGCTAATCGTACATGGGGAACTTGCATACTTTGATGTACATGCTTGACAATTAAATACTTTACATACTTTAGTAGTGTAGATATTATATATTTTAATAGAGTAGATACTATATATGCTTTGATACTGTAAATACAGCACGTACTTGATACTGTGAATGAACTATTCCTTAAAACTTTATATAGCTTTTTCATAGGACGAAGTAGAGATGTATTTAACAATGTATGATGCATGTTACGGTTTCTGTTTTGGTATCGGACATAACTCAGTTTTGGATGGGAGGCAATTTGCCGAGTTTATGAGAAATCAACATTTTACAAGTTTGCAACATACTTTTATTTTTCGCTTTTAATTTTCAATTGCTTGTGCAGGAATGATCGAAATTTCTAAATGTGTGCATCTATACATATCTTATAATCATTGATATTAATCAATAACTTACTTAACATTGAAGAAAAGAGCAATATAAGAAGGAATTGTCGATCTAAGAACTGCACTATTATAGTATTTGAAACTAAAATTTCTCAATTTTCTTGTAGATGTATTTGGAAATGTCACTTTGGATGGTACGGCAAAACGTTTACAAAATTATGCATTTCAATGGTTACCTTCGGAAAATGATGAATTTCAAAGAGTTATGACATTAACAATGATTGAGGCACAATGTACATTTGAAAACAAATGCTTTGATTTGGTAAATTTCTTACTTTCCAGCTGTTTTTTTCGATCATTTTAAACTTTTCATATTTATAAATAATAGAATTAGCTCAGAATTCAGCACAATTACATAATGAATGTGATTGAATATCAAGGGCTGTCAATCTTTAATAAAACTATTACATATTTAATTCCTTTTTAAATATAATTGTTATTTCTCAATTAATTTTATTAATTATTAAATGTGTGCGGAAGAAGAAAAAGCGAAATGGTGTATTGCAGGAAGTGCAAATAACAGATGAAAAGTTCTGGGATATTTATAAAAATATCACTATTGAAAGATGCGTTAGATGTAGCAAATATTCCTTCTCAACTATTATTACAGCTATTATTAGTTGTATTGCCATCATTGTGTTCTTCTGCTCGATTGCATTTTACTTATATCGAAGAAAGTAAATATAAGTTATACTCTGAAATATTGAGTGTAAATGAGATAGGAAGTTATCTGTTTCATCGTTGTTGCTTTCAATTTAAATATTGTTTTTCATTGATGGAGCAGTGAGAAGTTTGAATATTTCAAAAACACCAAATAAGTGTACCATTTGGCGGATACTATTTAAAAATCAAAAAATCTAATAGTTTATTATAATTTTAAGCACTTACATATATTTTGTAAAATTTGGAAAAATTTTAAGCAATATTTTTTGTTGCTAGTTAAGGATAGGAATTTTTTCAGGAAGCATTTGGAAGTGTATCGAATGATGTGGAAAATTTCAAAAGAGGACTTAAAAGTTATCGAAACAAAACGGGTCATTTCATTTTCTTGCATAACGTTTCTTTTACTATTAAATTTAGTTTCAAAATGTTGAATATTTTAGTCTAAAGGACGTGCAGTAAGCGATAAATTAAACAGTAAACGACGACAATTGGATTCCTATGCATTGGTTGGTACTTTAAAGGCTGAATTTATGTGTTTCAAAAAATATAAGCAAATTCCATGGAATAAGGCGCAATTAAAATTTCTTTACGAATTAAAATCGCTGAATCACAACAATCTAACCAATTTTATCGGAATTTGCTACAATAATCTTGATCGTTTCTACGTGTTACACACGTTAATTGAACGTGCATCACTGGAAGATTTCATTTATGATCAACAATTTAACGTGGAGGATACATTTAAGTGTGCTTTTATCAAAGATATAATAAAGGTATTATCAATGTTATTATTTAACGACAATTTTTGCTATTATATACATAATAATTGTTACAACAATCGAAGAATATAGAAGACTTTAAAATGAATTATCACATTTTTACTTTTGAAATTGATTGTGAAATCTACTGAATCGGCTGCAAATTATTTATTCTCAATTCAATCTAAAAATACGTTAAAGTGAATTGTTATTTCAGGGATTGCAATATTTACATAATTCACCAATTAGATATCATGGAATGCTGTCATTAAAAACGTGCATGATTGATACGAATTGGGTTCTTAAATTAACAAATTTCGGAATTTCAACTATGCTAAGTGAATTGATTGATCAGAATTATATACGCCCTCTAGAATTGATTCCTCAACATTGTAAGTGGTTTTTTGGGATTAATAGAATGAGCAAAATAGTTTGACAAACTATAATTTAAAAAAGCACTTATATCATCAATGTATAATATAACGTATATGAATTAAATATATTTAACATAATGTATATGAATTAAATTAGATCAAATTTAAATGGTCCAAAAAATTTAACACTCAGAAATTAATTATATGGTTGTTTATTTCAGTTTATATCACAGTTGCGCCAGAATTATTAGCTGATATTCAAATTGGATGGAATTTTCCAAAAGGAACAGCTATGGGAGACATTTATAGCTTCGGAATAATGCTTTATTCAATTATTTTTCGAGTCAAGCCATTTGATCGATTTTCACTGAAAGGTTTCAAGATCATTCATTTGAAGAAATTTGAAGATCTCAGATACAATTGCACCAAAAAAGAGAAATGAATATTATCATTTTTATAAAAGCAAGCTCGATTGCAGAAGTACTCCGTAATGTGGTTCAGAAATCGCTACGACCTCATATTGATAATGATGATAGTGATCCGGTCTGTTTTAAATTGAGTAACATTTTTATTGCTAATTAATTAGAAATTCAAAAAAAGAAGTCTTAAGCCAGAAATACTATAAAACTTTTAGAGGAAAGAAATGTGGAAATTAATATTTTGCAGCTGATTGATTTAATGTGCCGGTGCTGGGATTCAACACCAGAAGTACGACCAGAACTTCAAACTATCCGTCAAATTATTGGATCAATTTTCTCAAATTCGTAAGTTTTTAGCAATAACTTCGTAAGTTATTGTCACATTCAAAAATATATCAAATAAATTGACAGCTGCTCAATGTATAAACTAAAGATTTCGTTTATATAAGATTTGAAAAAGTGTTCCATATTATAAAGAGTATTATTTGAAATATTTTTTCTTTTTAAATACCTTTCGAGTAACTTAATTAAGGTTGTTTTTTATTTAATGGTTATTTTAGAAAAGGCAACTTGGTAGATCAAATGATCAAAATGAATGAGAAATATGCAGAAAACTTGGAACATATTGTTGCGGAACGAACTTCACTATTGGTGGAAGCACAAGAACGGACTGATCGCTTACTTTGCGAAATGCTACCACCGTTTGTCTTATTCTCAAAACATTTATATTTCATTTTTCTTAATTATTTTAAAAGTCAGAAGTTTACAAAACTTAGATTAAATCATGTTATTTGGAATAGTAAACGAATACAGTATCAGATCCGTAGCAGCGGAGCTCAAAGCGGGTAAAACAATTGTTCCACGAAATTATAAAACAGTTACGGTTGGTTTCTGTCAGATCGTTGATTTCATGTGCTTAATGGAGCAATGCACACCTGAGCAGGTTTGTAACATTTCCTAGTCATTAATGAAAAATAAATTCATAAGAAATAAACAAGTTATTTATTTGGTTTTTTTTACTTTATTTTTTAACATATTCTATTTGTTTTTCATATAATTATGTTTCTTGGATAATGAATTTTGCTTATTATGACTTTTTTATTTGTTATGAATTTATTTTTTTATTAAATTTATGTTTTTTGGTTAAGTTTTCTATTTATATAATTTTATAGTCCATTTGATTAGTTTACCGAAAATCATAAAGGCTTCATTTAAAAATGAAGTTATTAAAAATGCTCGAAAATTTTATTAATCCAATGGATTAAGGCATACTCACATTTTTCAAAATTTATTATAAACAATGAATTTTAATTGCAGAATGAGAAAAAGTTTGTTAATAAATAGCGTTATTAAAAATTACCAAAAATGAATTTAACTGAATAATTTTGTGTAAAATGACCTTAAAGTAAGTCTAATTGTTGTTTGAATTTTATTTCCCTTGAATGATGAGATGAGAGCGAGAATGCTTTATCCTTCATAATATAATCATTTAGGTGATTTCATTTTTAAATGAAGCCTTTATGATTTTCGACGAAGTAATCAAATGCCATGATGCTTATAAAGTTGAAACAACGGGTGAAACATATATGATGGCATCAGGAGTTCCTAGTGAAAATGGTGGCCAGCATATTTTCGAAATTGCTGAAATTGCACTTGAAATACGACAGGTAATATTTTTATATTGAGATTAGTAAGCATATTTCTGCAATAAACATGTGTAACAAGAATAATATCACATCATCGTATGTCATATAATATTAAATGATTTAAAACGAAAAATAATTTTACACTGATATAGTATGAAGTTATTTTTTTCTGCTTTTAATAATTTCATATAATTACAGAGAACTCTCGTTTATAAGGTCACTTCTGCAACAAATTGGCATCTTCGTGTTCGTATCGGATTCCATTGTGGACCTATTGCTGCTGGTGTTATCGGTTTACGATCACCAAGATATTGTTTATTTGGTGATACGGTACTTTTTTCCAAAAAAATCCAATTTATGTAAATTTTTTGCATTTTCAGCATTTTAAAAATAAAATTTTAAAGTAAAGATAAAGATTTTTTTGCAGGTAAATTTTGCATCTCGAATGCAAAGTAACTGTGAACCTAATCAGATACAAGTAGCTGAAAGTACAGCAAAAATATTAATGGAACATTCCAAATATAAGCTTTCGAAACGTGGAGTTGTGCACGTAAAAGGCAAAGGTCATTTATTTTTACTTGAAAAAGATATCTTCAACTAATGATGGCAAATATTCAATTGTTGCAGGAGATGTGAACACATACTGGTTAAATGAACTCGCATCGAATGAACAATAATCAACAGATGCAACAATGTCGAGTAGCGGAAAGTTGCATCAAATGCTAAACAATGATATAATCATGTGATGGTAGAGAATACAACAATTAGCCTCGATTCTGCAAACCTCATAAACAATTCAAACTAATACATTAATGGCTGTCACTTCCATAAGAGATGATGTCATTCGACGAAGATATCAACAATTCATTTGATTTATTTGTGAATTATGCAAATAGACTAATTGAACTGAATTCTTCAATGAGTATAGAAATTCTTCTACAGTTACTAAATAGCTTAAATAAATTTGTGGAGATAAATTTTGTGAAGAAAACAATAATTTTTGTTATTTTCCTTATGCAAATATGACAGATATGATAATATCAAAATATATTTTATGTAATTAGTCACTCATGCAATATCGGTTTATTCTAATTTCAAGATGATAGGGAAAATACTTTTAGAATAAAAATAGCTATAATTTCAAAAATAATTCTAAAATATTCCATTGGTTATAAACTGGAGAAATCAATATCATAGATGGAACAGTGTTGAAAATTCGATGATGGTAAGTTTTTGAATCACTGAGGATATTATAGTAATTGAAAGCATTGCAGATATTATTGCAATATTCGTGCTAAATTTTACATATATTGACAGCAATCGGACCTTTGAGATGTAATGACCATCAAAGGCGTAATCTTAATTTGGTCAATGATTGCATTAGTATCTCCTAATTTTGCTTAAATCCAAAAATCTATGAACCTAAATGAATTGATAGTGATCAGAAGAATGAGTCATGTTGTAAAATTGTGGATATTGGAAAATTAGAATTGAGAAGAAGGAATCTCTAATTATTGCAAAAAATTTAATTTCCTCGAATAATTGCAAGATAACGATTTTGAGATTAATGATTTTGATTAAATTTTCATACAAATTCGTCAAATATTAAACACTTAAATTTTTTAATTCCTAACATATCTTTTTGAAAAGAACGCACGAAATGAATTTTTCAATTGATAAGATTTATTGTTAATTATATTTTCGTTATTTAATGAATTTTCAAAAACCATTTAAAGTCATTGAATTATATCAACCGATGATTTAAATAATTTCATCAACTAACAAATTTTTCAAACGGTGGATGTAGGAGATCTGTCTGAGCTTCCAATAGAATCAACGAATAGATGCGACTGCGAATTTTTGCAATTTTTGAGCGTTTGTCGTTGAAATCGCAATGCCGCATAGTAACCGTCACGAATTGATGTAAACATTAACGATGTTAGTTGAGACCATGCCATTATCGTTTCAGTCGCCTGGAATTAAAAATTTATAATTTAAACTATGCAAAATTTAGCAATATTTAAAACGCCTTGAAGAAAAAATTCAATTAAAATCCATTTCGAAATTCATTAACTTATTAGAATAAATTGCATAGATTAGAATAAATTGATTAGAATAAATTGCATAGAATGGATGATATACAGCTCGATTTGGACTAAAAAAACTGGCGATAAAATTGCTGACTGAATGAATGAATTACTTGATGACTAGCCATATCCAATATTACGCATTCAACTGCAATCGCATCGGCTATACTAACCCAAAAATCAGTCTTGAAGCCATATTTTTTCAGTGGTACATGCCGTTCACCATAATGTCGCGATATTTCTTTCACTGCTACTACATCATGAACCTGAAAGGTTATTTAACCTTTGTGCTACTTTGATCTTTCGTAAGTTTCCATTACTATGCTCAATTATTACTTACAATCTAGACAATATTATTACTCATCTACAATAATACCAACTTTCTTCCAACACAAAAAATGATTATTTGATTATTTCAATCCAAATTACTTATTTTGTGTAACTCACCTTGCTTACAACATTATTCAAGTAATCACGAAGCTCATAGGAGGCATTTAGCCATTTTTCCTTGCCGATAGCATATACGAATCTGAAAATTAGGAACAATTAAATTTATAATATCCAAATTTAACTTCACTTCTTTTGTTCAATGTATCATTGATTTGCGATTGAAATGAATTAAAAATAAATTCTACATTTTGTTAGTAACTTTTCTGTAACTATTCATTTGCATATATTCTTCGTTTTGCATATTTTATTTTTGTACAATTTTATTTTTATAAACAGGTTTCAAAAATAACTTTGACATTATAAACATATAATATCTATTTCTGATTATGTATATGTTAGAATGAAACCTTTGATAATCAGGACGCTTTTCAAAAACTCGCATGCAAATACGATAACCAATTTCGCTATGTTGATTAACAAAACAGGCCTGAATGATTTCACGTCCCTGAGATGAAATTGGATGAGTTCCACGACAATCCGAATTTTTGTTATTACTATGAAATTGTTGTCGCGATTCACTGAGATCTGTTGATCTAAACAAAATATTCTTCACTGGTTGTTTTGAAATTGTTTACCAAAGAAAAGTTTCCGTTTCAAAAGGAAAATTATAATAAAATTAAAAATCAATATTTAATCCTATTAAACATTTTTAATGAAATTAGAGGTGGCTATTTAGAAGCAATTGAATATATTGAAAAAGTTAACGATAAATTTAATTAGGAGTAAAATTGATTGAAGTAGAAAATAGTTGCTAGATAATATTTTTCATTTTTTTTAATTGAAGTGATAAGATTTCAAGCCTTTTTGTGATTCTTAGTAAACGTAAGAATTTTCAAATTTTTGAATTGCTGTATTATTTCAATTATAATTATAATATTATTATCATCGCTTGCTATTTGCGAAAAAAATATTTTATTAATTGCACAAAAATTAATCGAAATAATTTCGAATTTGTTTTAATTTTAAATAGATTTCAAATTATTTCTATGATAACTAAATTACTTTTAGATGCATTTTTTCAAGATCATTCCAAAAACTCTCAAATACTTAAATCCTTCGCAATAAAAATATAATCTCTCAATCAATTTTAATCTTTTTATCTGCTATGAAAAAATTAAATGAATGATACCTCATTCGAATTAGTGGTTGGTTACGCTTTACACCAATTCCAGTACTTTGTCGTTGCTCTCTTGAATTCTTACACTTCATTTTATTCGATAATTTCAATGGCATGAAAAGTTGCTTATCAAGTTCTGAGTTTGATTTCCATTTTCCATCATTTACATTTGTTGTGCTGCTATTATAAATCAGTTTATCTTGCTTATTACAAAATATATCCGATTTTAGATTCGCGGGAGAGGTTGACATTTGCTGCTGATATGAGATATATTCACTACATTTCGTGCTGATTTCATTACTCTTCGACATTCCAGAATCAGGCGCTTTCCGTGAAACATTGCCGCCCACATCATTCAGCGCATCAATAATCTCTTTCTTTCCGCTGTTCCATGAAATATGATTACCCATTTTGTAAGTTTTTTAATCGATGAATTCAACGGCCAATTCGAATATGATGTAGCATGCCATTATTGATTGCTCCATAATAAAAGAGAAAAACATTTTTGTAGTAGAAAATCTTTGTTTTATTCTCGATTTTTCAAGAATCATAAAGCAATTGTAGCAATTAATGAATGCATTCTCATTCTCTCTTTATTCTATGAAATTTCAATTAAGATTGCAATCGTAGTAATGAAGTTATCAACATCAAAACAGCATGTTCCATCATGTGAAGAATCGATAAAGAATTACATTACTTGAAATGATATGATTTTTACGATTCAGCAATATGGACTGATAGGCTTCACCGATCGGAATGTTAACGATAAGTGAGAATTAATGATTTTACTGGGGGGAAAGGGAGGGAAAGGGGAGGGGAGAATCGTTGAATGCAGCAAAAATTGTGATTTTGATCGTTTCGGTGGTATTAGCTTTTCTAACAATTCATTAGTTTTTTATCGGTAATTATCAATACACTTGGTAGAAAATACTGAATTACAGTTCTGTGATATCGCATACTTTTTTCATATCATAATGAAAAAGAATTACGAAATGAAAGAGAAGTGAAAAGGTTAAATGTTGAAATTATATAGCTATTAAGTAAGTAAATTTACTTACTTAATAGCTATATAATTTCAATTTTCTTGGAAATGCTAAAAAACAAAAGATTGAAGTTATAATTTAATAAATTGATTTTAAATATAATTTCATTTATTGATTTGTAAGAAAAACCTTTCTAGCTTATTTTGCTGGTGCAATATAAAAAATTATAAAAGCTAACAATTTCTTTCTCAAGTGGGATAAGTTATTAAAAATAAAATATTTGATGGTTGTCAGTAATAAAAGGAAAATTCATTTTGAAAGATAAAAAGAAAAAATTTGAATAAGTTTCTTACAAAAAATATGACAAATAGAATGGAAAGAAAAAGATTGATGACAGTTTAAATTTAAAGAAAATTTAAATGTTATCATATTGAAATTTCTATTGGCACATTCAAATATGTGAGAAAAGTATAGAAAAATTAAATAAATGGCTATGAAAGGAAGGAACGGTGGAAACATCAATATTCCAATAAAAAGATATTATTATTATTATTTACAAATAAAAACGAGCGTGTCAAATTCGTTCGTATCATTAAAGTGAAAATTAATTTTGGTGTGAAATGCTCTATCAATCCTTCAGGCATTGAGGCTTTCTTATGAAAGGAAATAGTTGTGGAATTCAAAAAAAAGAAAGCAAATAATCAATGAGCGGAAGTTAAAAATAAATAGCACATTATAATGGAAAAGAATTATGGTTCCATTTTTTAATTTATCATTAAGTAATATTTGATAATAATAGTATTAGTGATAATAATGATAAGATAATAACAGTTATAATTTGTGAGCATAATAATAATGATTTGATAGAAAAGGAAATGAAAGAGTACGCAAAAGTAAATGAACTTCTAATTGCTTGAATATTTGTTGGAAAGAATTGAAGAGAGAAAGAAGGAAGAAAGGAGAAACAGAGAAATAAAAAGCCGATTTAAAAATTTTAATCGCATTAATCATAAATTCGAACTCCTATGTGGTGTACAATTTTTATAAATAATAATAAAAATAGAACTATGCATCGGTGATCCTCAAGTAACTTTCGATTTTATCAACTTTATTTCATTTTGCTAAAAAATCAAATAATTTGCGATCCGTATCGGAGTCATGAGCATTCCATCATTATCTTCTAATCTTGTTTTAGAAAATGAGAGAGACAGGATGGAAAATTATTATTCAGGGAATTTCATCCGTTTTATCATCCAATCACTTGTTGCAATACCACATATCACTCTCAGGAATGAAATGAACAGTATTGGTTTGCGAAACGTTTGCATTTGTTCAGGCTTCATTAGCTTCACGCATAACGGTCGCCCGTGTCAAAATGGATCAATCGTAAATATCAGCTCAGCGGCAGGCGTGCGCTACTTTTTCAATATGCTCTTTGAATAAAGCAGCTATAGGTTCTTTGCTTGTATTAATAATTGATAACTTTACAAAATTCTGATCGTAAAATAATATATGAAACAACTGCGAAAAACAATTGCGAGATGAACGAGATGAACGAATCAGAATTACATTACTGAAGGCTAGCAAACTGTCGGTAATATATGATTGTCGCAAGTCGTAGGATTTATATATCAATAATTTCTTCTAAATCTACAAGAATTTCTTGTTTGTTATCTTATTATTTTATAACAATATTATTCTACTGAAAATACCAAACATGCAAAGATTTTTCGAAAAATTAAAATCGATAAGGTATCTGCGATACAGCTGAAAAGTTGAAGAACTATAAAGTGGCTGTGGTATCATTATGGCCTGGAACAATGAAAAGTGAGAAATGGTAGGAAGTAGAACATTCAGTAAGATAGCTATTTCAAATCTACAATTAAATTTTTATTTCTCATAATAAATTTCGGTTCAATCTTTCAAAAAAAAATTTTTTTTATTCTTCCTTGTATCACAATTATATTATCTTAGTTATAATAAATACTTTATAGTGAGTGAAATCAAGTTTGATTCCCTTCAAGAATACATAGCATTTCATATTAGTATTTTTTCTTTTCCCACCTTAAAATTATTATAAAATGCTAAAATGAAATTCAATAAGAAAAGAGGCCAAGGAATAGACCAACCGTTCAAAATTTAACGCTGAAAAGTTGAAAAAGTTTATTATAATTGAAGAAGAGAAATTATATCATTTTAATGAGCAATTTATATGTTAGAAAATAGAAGACACCAAAAGATAAATTATATAGGAAAATTTTGTTTTAATGGATTTACTTCGTACTTCCGTAATTTTATGAACACATTTTTTCATTTCACTTTAGCCTCAAGCAACCAACCAATCAACACTTAAAGCTGAAAAGCACGATAGAACGGATCAGGAATAAATAAGGAATAAAGATAACAATGAAGTAATGAGATTTATTAGATGAATCCAATTGAAACCAAAAATAATCTATGATTGTCAATGTTCTGAAGTGATTTTTCCTTGACCAAAATTGATTTTCTTCTTTTTAAAATTTTCTGTAATGATGAATAAGAAAATTTAAAAGGAATGATTGGTCAAATGAAGTTATTATAGAATTCTACAAAAAGACATCACTCAGAAGTTTTGCAAATATTAGTTCGCTGAATTTCTTTGATCAATGAAAAAAAATCTATCAAAGTGGAAACAAAATGAAACCAATAAAAAAATAGCTGAAATAATACCAGGTGGTAATAAATAGGTTTGGTTTGCATAGAGTATTTACTCATATTCAATGAAGCGTTAGCAATAGCAAATATATTAAGTATACATATACATACACATACATACCTAAGCATATCATTGAGAAATGAAAAAATGGAAGGAAAGTAAAACTTAACTATTTCTAAAACATTGCAAGTAAATGGTATGAAGATAAAAATATATGTTATGCATGTGCAGATGTACTAATTACTAATTTAATTTATTTATGGATGAAGAAAGGAAAACCACTTCTATCAACCCATTTTTTCTTTTCTTTGAGCAAATTCAATGAAATTAGTAACGAAATTGAAATCATTGAAGAGAAAAGAAGAAACTTACTTGTTGGAAAAATTATTTTTACATTAAGTATTATTAAAAGGAAAATAAAATGAAAGGAAAGTATTACGCAATTGTAGTTTAAGTTCTATTCACAATTACATTTCTAGTTTTCAACAATAGCAATATACGTACAATCTCAGTTTTTCTTTCTTTTCCTATTTCATTTCTTTTTTTCTTCCTGAAATTTAATTATTGAATCGCAATGTTGCGTTTTTCAATTGCTTCATATTTGCACCTATGCTTATATGCATGAATGGTTTATATGCGTTGGGAAGGAATGGGATGTAATTATTTCGATGAATTATTTAGTTCTCTCTTTTATGCAATTTCATTTCGCACAAAAACCTTTCTATAGGGAGGGAACATTTAATTGTTAGCAAGAAAATCTACTGAAACAATATGTTTGTTCCGGTAGATAAGCGATTCTGATGGCAAAATTAAAACCTTATGACAAACAAAAATTGGAATTCAATTCAACTATTCTCACTACACTTCATAGTTTAATTCATAACCGTAAATGGCAGTACCGATTCTGTGATTACGGAAGAGTACCAGCCGCAGCAAATGACATATAATTGCCACGTATCACTTGCATACACCATGGCAAACTTTAATCTATAAACTATAAATTATAAAGTATGTTTCGGGTTCTTCTGATGATCTCTGTTCGACATCTTAAAGATGGTAGAAAAATTCACCTCCCGTTTGAACTAGTGCTAAAAATGTAAAATAATACCATAGTTCCAGTACCTAATTTTGCTAAAATAAAGTACAAATTTGGAGCTGATGATTTATGATGAAGGGAAAATTTCTATTCCAAATGTTGTCATTGACAGAATAATAAGGAAAATGAACAAACTTTCCAGCATGATAAACTTCGAGCATTGTTTTCTTGAAATGAAGAAGTGCCGATATCATCAATCCATCCAGGTTTTATTACAATCCATGTTGAATTGGCCACAGCTCAAAAGAAACGGATTTGATTTGAAAGAAACAGTCCAAAAAAGATACAATTACATTACTTCTTCACATTAAATTTTTTTCTTTTTTGCAACGGTTATTATTTTCAACAAAATGATCTCGGAAGTCCTAGAAAATATTACATTAATATGATATGAAATTTAAACATAAGTATGCATAAAGCGCCATAATCACCACCAGCATAAAATCGAATAAACAACCAATAGTAACGATGCAAAATTTGTAAGAATATCAAACCATATTTTCAACAGCATTGCAGCACAAATGCTTCTGAAAATATAGTTTGATATTCTTCTGTTCGGTAATGCTTGGCTAAGCTTATTTTATTCACTCTTTACAAATAAAATTAAATAGACAAGCTGTAAAAAATAAACACTGTTTTTCGCGATAATAAGACCATGTCAAGAGATATTTTAACAAAGCCTAAATGGACTGATCTGATATTAACTAGTCACCCAATCAATATAAGCCTTTGTTTTTTTTGAAGCTTCCAGAAAATTATAGCAATACCACTCATAACCTTATTATTTTCATGAGTGGGACAAAAACCACATAACATCTCTCTATTACGAGATATATCTAAACACTGCTAATAATACTAAAATTTGAAAAACAAGGAACTGTACGGAATTGATAACTTCATGGTAGCTGTTTCGAAGAGAATACATTCCTGTCGTTTTACGCTTTGTCATTAAAGTTTCGTAATGTCTCAATTTCTAGTCTTCCTAGTCATAATTAAAAAAAAAAGCAATTTTGATTTGAATATATGCGATTTAGAGCTTATAAAATTTATTAGACGACAAATGAAGAAATGTGGCTGGAATTTTCAAGAAGCTTGGTATTAATTTCGCCACTGCTTTGAATCCAAAAAAATCCAATACAACGCTTACGCTCCTCATATTTGAAGGGATTTTTCCTGAAAAAAGAAATAAGTGAAAATATCAACTAATATAAATAATTTATGTAATATACCTTGACTATTCGAAAATTGAAGACTGGTAATAAGTCTCAAAAGACTGCAAGTACTATCTAAAGAACATGTTTATAAATAATTTCAAGCAATCAAATCTAACACGATAATAGAAGACTAACCATCATTATCAAGAAACAGGTATTCATCGCACAGATCACCCGTTAAAAGTATACATCCAGTTTTCCTTAATACCCGATTATCACAGGCCAAGCACGCCACGCCTCGTCCAACAAATTCGGGAGTTTCTCCTTTTTCTATCATACCCTCTAATTGGATCTGCAATTACTTAAATATTTCTTTAAGTAAAAAATGTTTATAAATATATCGTCACTTTCTAATATGCATCTAGAGGTTATCCAGCAGTGGATGGTCTGACAATCATCACTATTTGTAATAAACATTGCTTTTCAAAACAAGATGACATAACATTCAAGTAAGCTGTGACTAGAAAGAGACTAACATAAACAGGTGCCAGCAAAAAAAAGCACTGGAAAAGATAATACATCCCATTAGAATAAGACACCTGAGATATTTTCGTAAGTTGGCTCAGCATTCCAGATCTCAACCAATCGTATGAATTTTCAGTTTTCACTGTTCCAGGCCATAGTGATACCACCGCCACTTTATAATCCTTTAGCTCTTCGGCCATATCCGCAGACATTTTATCAATCTTAATTTTTCGAAAAATCTTTACATGTTTAATATCTTTAACAGAATATTACTATTATAAAATGATAAGATAACAAACAAGGAATTCTCGCAGCTGTAGAAGAAATTATTGATATAAAAAAAGACTTGCGACAATCATGTATTACCGACAGTTTCCGAGTCTTCAGTAATGTAACTCTAATTCGTTCATCTTGAGTTATGCTATATACAAAAAATATTTTACGACCAGAGTTTTGTAAAGCTATCAATTATTAATATAAGCAAAGAACCTACTGCTGCTTTACCCACTCCGTAGGGTACATTGAAAAAATAGCGTACGCCTGCCGGTGAGCTGATATTCACAATCAATCCCTTTTGACGGGCGACCATCATGCGTGATGCTAATACTGAACAAATATAAACGTTTCGCAAACCAACACTGTTTATTTCATCCCAAAATGATGGCTGACATTCGAAGAATTTTTTACCAACATTTTTTTCCATTGCCTGCAGTGCTATGTGTTAAGTGAATAAAAGCATTCTTAAAATGATTGCTAAAAACTTTCCGTTTCTCAAAAGTATTTATCCATGGCTCGATTTAATATAAATAAAGCTGACCGAAAAATAATTAGTACTTTTTTGATAAAAAACCAGTCTTTTTTTTTCAAAAGTTTAATTGATTTTCTATACATAAGCTAATATTCTTAACAAAAACATACAGTGGCTCCTGAGAAGGCATTATTGACCAGAAAATCCAATCGATTGTTTTCAGCCTTTGCAATTTTTTCAAATAGCTCTTTAACTTCATCATCCTTACTGTGATCGCAATAAATTGCAACAGCTTTACCACCTTTGCTTGAAATTTCTAAAAACGTTACAGTTTTTTTGTAAAGATTACAAGAGCATATGAGTTATCGCTTACATTCATGCTTCTTTTCCTACGTGCCTTGTCTGCAACAAAGGGCTCATAGCTTGCTTATTGCAACATCTTGTATCGAGCGACATCTCCTATAGCTTCCAACAAATACTATCACTTAAAGAATATATGCTGAAAACATGACAAAAAATCGGAAGTCCCCTCATGCTCCTTTGCATAAGACATTTTTTATAGAGGTAAAAACCTGACCATTGACAGTATCATGCAAAGTAGGTACGCGAGGGACTGAACCCGGTTTCCGTCCCGAAATATATACGGTTGCACCAGCTTCAGCAAGTTGCAATGCGATACCTCTACCAACACCTCGTGCACCGCCGGTTACCAAAGCTATCTGCCCACTCAGAGGTTTTGCTGCTTTCGATGCTTTATGTGAAGCCTGAAATAACGTCAATTACGTCGACTTGATGCAATATTTGGAACTTTATCTGAATTCGTGAAAGATAAAATCGAGCAAATTAATAGTGCCTTAAGTTAGCTTACCTGAAACTACTATTAAACGAGCTTCCCAATAAATCAGGCATTCTGATAGTCTTCATTAAAATCATATCACAAACATACACTTCAGCTAACATTTACATTTTAGTTAACTAAGTAAACTCCGCTCAATAAGTGGTTGCATTACTCCCCTTCTGAATACGATGACCTAACAACATATGCCAAAGGCTGGGAGACACCGCAAACTTCTCTTGAAGACTACGACCATGTTGTTTTTGAAACCCATATGATTAGACCACCGACACATCTATTGGTAATTGTGTTGGCTTCTTTTGACTCTTGCCTTTAATTCGAAAAATTGGGATGAAAAGAAACCCAAACTGTCGGCTGTCGAAAGCAACTGGATATCGAAGCAAACGCCTTGCCACGATATAACCAACGACCCAACGAACACATCCTGGAATACAGTAGTGATGTACTACATATTGGATGGAACCAAACGAAATTTCCTCTCGATGGAGTGATGTGTTCTGAAATAGGGCCAATCAAAGGCACCTTCATATATTAAAGATTTCTTTCAATAATCAGGATGGCAATTCCTGGAAAATTCCAAATTTCACATAATTACTTTCTCATATGGGACGAAATAATCACAACATGGCATTTAGACATCCTAACCCGTCTCCTCTCTGAGATGAACCGCGGAAAGCACTGGGATGATAGTGACCCTACTTCTTACAGTTTCCATTTTTAAGAAATAATCTTTATTTCATGGTTTCAAGCACAAAATAAGCAGAAGCCGTCGGTACGAATCTCAGTAGAGCGCAAGTATTGCTCACAACATCAATAAAACAAAAAAGGTAAAAAGCAATTGCCATTATTGATCAGATGACAGTTTAGTTCAATCAGTGGTGTCGTTTCTCACCTCTATAACTTTTCTCTAATTTAGCTGAATTGACGTCCAAAAATCAATCATTCTTTACAAGAATTTAATGTGTCTATGAAAGTCAAGGATAATAAAATCTTTTTTACTAAATGTCATATGAATTAAGAACAAATAAACATGGAACAAGTGTTAGAAAGAATGCGACATTACTATTAAAAATAAAATGGAAAAATAGAAAATCCATCACGAGAACCACATGTCTCAAGAAAAACAAAAAGAAAAACGTCCCGATGACAAGAACTTATGAAATTATAAATGCAAAATATACTGGATAAATTTTCAAGTATAAGTGTGTATACCAAATGAGTTACTTAAAAGTGACCGGTAGGAGTCCATACCATATAGCACTTCATGCTACATATTAATAAGAGAGGTTTCTAGAAGTGATGCACAATTTGATAAGCTATAACTTTCCAATATTATTATTCGTCGATCTTCCTCGATGAACTTAGAACTGTCGCTTGGAAAGAAGCGCATGCTTGAGAAAAAGAAAGCAACTGTTTGCTGCTAAATTTCTTTATTGGATAAATACCTGAAATATTACGACATGGAAATTTCCTCGAATTCTTAGAAAACTTTTTAAACTATTTTCCACTAACATAAGCAATTTTAATAAAAACGAGTGCTTTGATTTGCGAGTTGTGATTCCTACGTGGCGTTAAGTAGATGCTGTGCTATCGTTACGGTGAGATGAACCGATTTTATGGATAAGACAATGAGTGTAGTTTGGATAAGGAATCTTTCGAATTAAATTTTAGTTGGATTCAATGTTAATGATTATTCAAGTCTGATGCTCTCAGGCTAGATACAGGTTTTATCAAAGGAATCGGTAACCTGTTAGAACATTGTTAGTGAAAATACCTGCTAATGCTGCAACAACCGAATTCTCAAGAAATAAGCGATAAGCGTTTCTGAGAGAACCATCAGTATCATAATGTTCAACATCTTCCTCTGGCTTTATATTATTTATATTTTTATTTGATTCACAGCTTCCGATATCTTCATTCGGTAGCGGCGATTTCATAGCAAGCCTCTCTTCCATACTGTCGTATTCCGATAAGGATGAAGAGCCAATACAACTCTTTGCACCGTTTTTCTCCAAAGAAGCTGTTGTTATTGTGCCTTGAAGATTCATTGCTTTTTGATCCCTGACAAACGGATGAAAGAAACCAAATCGAGACCGACAGTCACCTAGAATTATCGTTAAAAAAATGAATTATAGGTCATTATATTTTGGATATATCTGGAACATCTGAATTCGTCTTACAGGTCTAAGAACCGCCAAATGCTTTGAAACTATTCATTCACCAATACATTAATTATATTTCTAAGATGCAACAGCATCATTCGGCGATAGAAAGGACAGATTAATGCGAGCTTGCTGAATTTCCGAGAAGTGTTGCCATTTCAATCATATAAGTTAGATAATTGAAGAAGTGTATGCCATCCCATAGGGGCAGCTGTCACGAACCGATACTTCAGAAGACATTTAACTGCAAAGAATTGAAGGAATGTGAAATGCAAACAAACAATAAAACCTTGCTTTATGGTCCTTTGCCTAATTTCGAAGGGTGGCATAATTCGATCACTTTTCAAATCCGGTTGCTTTGATGAACAACAATCAGTTTCGCCATTATTCAAACGCTTGACTGCACAGGGTGTGAATCGTTTGGAATCATTTTGGAACGGATTCACATAACTGTGTTTAATTAAAGCCCTGGAAACTTCATTTCCGGAAGTTTCAGAGGCTGTTTTATCTGAAGTTCCTATTTCACCTTCAGGAACATCAATAATGCGCAGTTCTTGCACTGTCTTAGAAGAAACCGTTTCATGTTCATTAGTAGTTGGGGGATAAACCTCTTTCAAGCAATCAGCAGGAGAATTTAATCGACATTTCATGATTTTTTCCAATTCAATGGCGTCTTCCTTGCTCACCATATTTTTCTGCAATAAAATCCACATTTTTCAAGACAAGCAAGTGAAAGTAGGAAACATTGATAGATATTTGCTAAGCTAATTTCAAGTTCCCCGGAAATTAAGCTTTTTTTGATTCGTCTTACTTAAGTAAAATGAAAATAAAAAGTCTATAGATTCACGACAAATCATCTTTCAGTATAAATATGTGTCATAACTCGATAAGCTGTAATCAGTACATAATTTGATTTTATCTCTATGCCATCATTACAAAGTCCTACTAAAGAACAAGAGAAGTCTTAGTGATTTTGTCTGATATATATCTTTCCGCCACCTCTTTTCACAAAAAAAATCACCATCCTAAAATGATCCTCAAGCGCCCTCAGAACACGGCTCAGTTTCGGATCTCGAAATGGAAATGTTTCAATATCCTGCTCTGACATACAAGCCAGATTACCAACAGTAGCAACGCCGCGTGACTTCATTAGTGACCGCAGAGCAAGGGAACTGAAAATAATAGTTAAAATTTAAATGACAAAATCAGAAAGTACTGTTCCAGAAGCTTGATGAAGTTTTAACTTACTTTTAGTTAAAATTTTTTTTAACGAAATATTCTCTAGTTATTACGGCTAAAAAAATTCCATTACACATATTGAGAATCATACCTCATTGCTGGAGCCAGTTTGAGATATATTTGTGGTGGAATCAATTCCTCCGATCCGACTAGCGCCGGAAAAACTGCATCAGCAGGATTTTTGTTGGTGGGTAATATAGATGGTCGCTTTGAAGGTGAAGTCGGTTCAAAACGGTTATCGAGCTGGAAAATGCTAATTAGAAGCTATAGGAAGAATTCTTATGAACTCATCTCTTGCAGTTCCAGACAATTTAGTTGTTCATTTGTACATAGTACTTAAATTCTCTTTCTATTATTAAAATAACAAAGATCTCTGCCATCCATTTTATTACGTCATGCTGTTCCTCTGTTGATTAAAAATATAAAGAAATTCAGAGAGAGAGAGTACCTTTTTAAAGATTTATATTTCAAAATTAGTGTAAAGAGATAGAAAATATGTCGGAATATGAAAAAATCACCGATAATTCAGAAAATGATAAATTTCTGGGTCGCCGAAAAATTTTTCTACGTGGAGGACCATAAATATCATCATCGTCTAGAGTCGACGCATCGAAATGAACACGTTTGCACTTAACAACAATATCGCATTACTTATTAACAAAACTGATCGGATAATCAGTGCACTACAGCATAATAGCACTTCAGCCTTACCACGACTTCATGCACGATCTCTCGGACGGTAATCGTAATACTAACCATCACACTATCTTGCTTAATTTATCAGCTACATCCATCCTTAACAGCTACCACAGTAGACATAAATAAAATTGTTTAGACAATAAATTTTTTCTTTGAAGTTTGAAATTACTTTTTTTGCACTGGCTGAAAAAAAATTAATCGCCGGACAGACTGCTCTTCTTCCACACTTTTTCAATATACTGTTTGGTGTTTTCATTAGTTCATCTGTACTCTCCCTCGGACTCACGTTTTCCAAATGTGATTCTGTGATTTCCTAAGAAACAAAAAAATTTTCGTCTGCTACATTTCTACATTTTCTTTCGATAGATTCGACAGATTTAAATTTTAAATTCTCTGAATGCCAATGCAAAAAAAAAAAAAACAAAGTCTTAATCAATGTTCATAATGAAAGAAAATGCAGATATGAAAAAAATTGAAAACCGTCAAATGTTCAAATATTAAAAAAAGAAAGAAGAAACTATAAGTCAAACTTTCCTACAAACGCAAATATAGAAGAAGTTTGTATCTTCCACTGAAGCAAAATACCAAAAAAAATTACAGGAGTTTTACATCTTATCGAAAGTGTTGGCTCATCCAAAACTTTTCGCTCTACATCTCTCATATGTTCATCCAACAAAATAATCGCTGATTGACCACTGAGTTCGTCTTTGGCATCGGTTTGGCCTTTAAGATCTAAAATGCTCGACCAAAATATGCAAATTCGAGAGCGATAGCAGTAAGGTACCTTACTCATAAAGAGTAGTGGATTCTCTGTTGATTGATCTATTGTTACTGTGGTGAGCAAAAATAGGATTTTTCAACATACAAAAATGTAGAATATTAAAAAATAAAACGAAGTATAACATCTTGCTGGATTATTCATCATCAAACATAGTTTATACCATAGACATAAATTTCTTGTATCAAATTCTTTAAATCTATTCCAAGTGCCGAAAAAATGATATTAAACACAGCAGAAATAAAAATTCAGATCAATTTCGCAAAATACCGACCAGTAAAATCATTTCTGCAAAGCTCGTTAAATTTCACACCTTGATCATCTTGCGTATCCTAAAAAGTCAATTAAATGAAATTTCGGGTTAAGAAAACTGAGAAAAACTTGCAAAAACACTGGCTGAACTTTGACCCCAACTATCGAAGTTTTAGCTCAAAGAACACCCACTTAAATTTACAAACCTTACCTCAACTTTTAATGCATTAGATCATGGAAAAATTTGTAAAACAAACCTCTAGGATCACAGAGTTTTTTATTGTAGTTCTATCAACATCGCTATCGCCATTACCTATGTCACCCACATTATTATCACTTTTAATATTTCCAGTGGACAGATCCTCATTTTCGCATCGAACATAGATACTTGAAGTAGCCATACAATTATATTCAGCATCATTTTTCTTTACCGGTGATAGTGTTTCTGAAGCTTTCATTGCTGATGAGCTGAAATTAGACATTTCCTTGTGAATTCATATTTCATTAATACAAACCAATACGGTTGATCGGTTCAAGTTTAGAATTGCTGTTGGGTTGCATCCTTCTCCATCTTTAGTTTATCGCAATTCAAGAACTCCATTTTTAATTTCATCAGTTGTATTCACACTGACTTTAACATTACATATATTCAGAACAAACAAACTTCTCTTGCGATGAACTATTAGTATATTCCGGTGGAATACGTGCTGCCAAATCGATTGATTGACTTTCTTCAGTAAAAGATAGCAGGCTGTCACTGAAACAAACAATACTATTCAAAAACCGATTTTTCGACAATTTTCAGTGACATATATCTTCTAACCTTCTTCCTAATAGTTTTTCTTTCTGGTGATCAGTTGATTGCATTTTTTTCTCAGAATGAGATACGTTAACAACTGCGTACTCGCCCATACTTTCATCCTTCACATGTTTCAGCGTTGTATACTTTGAAAGTGAAGGCTGTGCACTCTTTATGGGCGACTGCTTAAAATTCTGCAAAAAAAAAAGTTAAAATCACCATCAGATTTTAGTTTTTTTTAGCTTTTTAGTTCTTTGCAAGTTTTAACTTGCCTATTTATTCAAATAACATTCAAATGAAGAATTCCTTTGCATATAATAAGTCAACGTTTTGTCTTAAACGTATCTATTGGAACTTGAAATCATTACGTTTGTGCTGATAAAGTTGGGTTATGCATACAGAATAAGCAGCGAGATGAACGCTCCTGGCAGCGCAAATTTAAGGAGGAATCAAGGAGTGTGACATGGATGAATGCGATTCTGAACTGAACGGATACATTTCAAACATAACAAAGAAAAACGCAAAATAGTTTATAATTGCATAACTCTGACTACCTGACTTATACTTCTATTAACAACGTCGTTACTCCCATCCATGGAGAAATTAAGATTTCTGTCACAAGATGTGGACGTCTTTGCATTATTCATTCCCGAAAAATCTTTCTGTTCTGAATCGAAATTTATCGATGCACATTTGGCACACTCCAAAGCAGTGCTAAAGAATAAATTATACAAAAACAATTGGAATATTAAAGAAATTTTTTCGAGCCTTATTAATTTCAATCTACTCTGCTCAGCAATATATTTAATCACTTTTTTTAGAAAGATTGTTTTAAAGTCTCTGAACTATTGCATCTTTTATTTTTAAAGGTATAATGACAATTAAATACTTCAAGCAAACGGAAGAGTATGTCATGCAAGTGAATGATGAAAGAGTATGAGCAATCACTAAGTAAGCAGCAGTAAGATTATCTTCCACTACGGCCAGTTCTAAGATCGAAAACAACGAGCCATTTGAAAGAAATGTGAAAATGAGGTACAAAAATTAGTATAAAACTGAACTTCCTTAGAAACCTTAGAAATATGGATTAAAAACAGACAATCAAACAATAACGGAAGGATCCGATTTCTCAAGCAAATCCCAAATGAAAACTAACCTTAGCTCATCTAAAATATCGAGATGACTTGCACAACTAAACGTCTGTCTCCAGAAATTAAGAAGACAAGGACGTAAACGTGCTAAGCGCAATCCGTTAATAAAAACTGGCTCTAACTGACCAAGCAAGGAAGTGTCGTATGGCCCCGAATAATGCTTTTTGAGAGTAGTCAGAGCTGTTTTCACCAACACAATAACCTCAAAAATTGTTTAAATTTTTGGAAAAATAACTGAAGACAAAGCAGCAACTAACTAATAATAGCTGAAATATTAATGTGAGGTATTGAGATACTACTGAATGCTGAACCCAAAATTCAAACTTTAAGGTGTTTTATTAAGTATGTTAATTCAATATAAAATTTTCATTTTCTGGTACTCCATATCATGCAAAAAATTCCACTAACGTTTGTTTGGCTTTTGCAAAATATCCGACAGCCTTTTTCCGTCACCAGAGCAAGGCAACTGCTCATGAATTCACATAAAGCACCAATAACGAACAAAATGTGTGCAGGTTTAGTCATTAAAGATATCAGGCTTGTCGCTGCCTCCAAGATGTTTAATACGGATTTAGACATCAATTCAAGAGCAATGCCCTAAAAAATAACTGTAGGAGAAAAAAGTCGGAAGTTTTTACAAAATTCAATCTTTCCTGCGATTCAACCGTGGAGATTTGCATCATGTAATGTGTAACAAAAGTTCCTGAAACAACGTTCGAAATTTGGTCAACTCTCTTTCGGAATATGGAGAAAAAATATCTACGCGAAATAGTCATGAACTTACAGTTTGTTTATCTGTATGTTTGCGAAGTGTTTCGAGTGAATGCTTTCGTATCTCGATTAACAGCTTGCAAAAAATATCAAGAACGTTTTCCTTTCCAAACAAATCAAAGTCTGAAAATAAACATTTTTTTATAAGCAATATCATTGTTGTTATTCATATCCTAAATTCCACAAATATTGTCCGTATTTTTAGAAATTTAGCAAATTCGATCAGCTAACAGAGGTTCATTGCAAAAAAAAAGATATAATATTGGCTTTTCCTTAAAAGCACTGAGAAAAAGTGATGAATTGTTTTCGAAAAATAAAATTGAAACAAAACCAATTCCTTAAAAAAAAAATAAAAGTATGGAGAAATCAAAAACGGACCTCCAACAAAAACATCATTAATAACGTCATAATTAAAGTATTCAATCTGAGCTCGAATTATGTGCGAACAAACGAAAAGTAGTCGACAATCCATCTAAAAAGAACCAAAGATTTATAAACGCATAATATACTGGTGATATTGTAAATCTCCGAAAAGTCCACATGGTTATATTCTTTGATAAGCAAACTATCTTTCTGTCAGAAGACAAAACAAGACTGTATGAAATAGAATATGTCGAAATAACTGTGACAAACATTCTCGTAATTTCTACAGGTTGTTTATATACTTAATATAATGAATGAATTTGGTTCTGCGAATAAAAAAATTTAAAATATTTTGTACAACCTTTTGACATGTAATTAATTGGCTTGTTTGATTAGCTAGTTTAATAGCAAATGTGCAGCATTGAATAGAATCCTGAGAACAAGCTTCGATGACAGCATTATAAATATTCTCCCAAGCTTCAAAAATGGGTATCATACTTCGCTGAAAAACGAATATGATTTGAATATTAAAACATCAGACACGCGAATAAGAATGCGAAATTCTAAACTTTTAAAAGGAGTTATTTTCGGTTATACTATTTTCGGATAAATAGTTTTTTTGTTCTACGTGCATCGGCATAAATATTTTCGAGAAATCTGAATTAATTTAAGACATGGGAAACTTGCCGGTCTCACGGAGAATTCATTTTTCACCTGGACTCTCACAAGAGCCAATAAAATTGCTTCAGCTAACTGAAGGTATGCTTCGGATCTTATTTCGTCATCCTGAATAGTCGTTTTTAGTTCATTATCAATTTTAAAACGAATGGCTTACAAGTGCATCATTTCAGTTATTATGTGGAAAGTCACACAATACTTACTAATTATAGAATATAATGTTGTGATGTCATACAGGCTTGAAACATTGATTTAAATGTATAGTCCATGTTTTATCAATGAAAAACAAAAAATAAAAAAAATCATGTTTCAAGTCTGTATGTGAAAAAATTACCTTCAAACAACAAAAACTATCAGCAGTTTTCATCCAAGAGGTAGTCACTTCTTCCCATGTCTTGATATTTTCAAGCATATCGATCAATATTTGATTGAATAAATCAGCTTTGTCGTCGCTATTTGGATCATTGTTCACAATGGAAGTTCTATTCTGTGACTTATCCCGACTGAACGAAAAAGAAAACTCAATCAGGTTGATTAATGAATCTTTTTTTGGAATCAATAACAGTAAACTGATGAAAGGGAAATTTTATAAAACCATTCTTCTGTATTAGTTAAGCTTCTCAGTCTTGATCATTTCAATCTATTTCCCTATATTTGTCTACAGAATCTTACCATCATATACTACCAATTTACGGAATCACATTTCCAGAAAATGTTTAAAGTTTATTAGTGGTTTCTGATCACTTTCCAGATTAATTCTGCAAATTATATTTTTAGTTCGGTGATTAAAAATTCAAAGAAAAAGGGCTAAATAAAACATTCAATTATATATGCTATGAACCAGAAATACGAACGAAAGGAACTGTAATAAAGAGGAATAGACAATTCAAGAAAATTTTACTTTCGCTTGTTGGATTTTCCCATCTGAATCCTGCAAACTTCCTGCAACTGAAAAGAAATAAAGCCGAGATAAGTACCAGCAACTATCAACCACCGCCCCGTTCTGGCGCGGCCTTACTAACCCTGATTTCTCTATATCACTTTCTATGAAAATGTTGGCTCGACACTAATAAGCATCCAATGGAATTCAAATATCCAACGTAGCGCCATTTCTTCCTAAGGCTATAATGAGAAATTAGGCACCACCCATCCAACAATAGATAGAATATGATAGGATGGAATTGAATAAAATGATGGAATGTGCGTAGTGGAATGGATTAAAACAGAGTAGGGTCGTTAGAATTTAAAATTGATATTTCGACGTTTGAGAAGGCATAGGATGTGTTTGTAGTCACTTTGGAGAATTCCGAACTGATTTCAAAAATGAAAGTGGACATTTGCGCATCGTTCACATTGTTAGTTGTTTGAGGCCATTTTCATTCATTTTTCTAATTTGACTGCTAGCTTAACCAACTAATTAGGACTAAATCTGAATCTGTGCAGATCATTACGTTTAATTAGCACCAAATACTAATCAAGCCTTTTTGTTAAAAGCGAATACCGAAAAAGAAATAAGAAAAAAATGGCATTTTTTGAAATTCCAAAGCAATTATCTTATCCAAGCGGATAAATTGATCTATCCTCTCATGTGTTCTGTATTACTTAACTGAAATGTATTTCATTTTATATAGTAATCAAATTTTGAATCGTAATAACGGAGTTCTTTAAAATCGAGGAGCTTAAAATAACATAGCTAAATTTTTCATCCTTTTGAATTTCACTGCAAGAGCACTGATAAATGAGATATAGCTGATAGAAGTGGTGAATATTTTAAAAATGAAAAGCATACTTTAAATGATTGGCCAAACTTTATTAAATGGAAAGCCCATTTTGTTGGAATGTCTGGTTTTTTTCGTCAGTGAGAAAAATATTTAAATTTAAAAGCCTTTGCGCGCTGCTTATTTTCACTGACTTTCACCGATAAGTGCTATCATAGGGTATGCCAACTACTGCACTGAATTGCATTTGACTGCACTGAACTACTGCACTGAATTGCATTTGCATTTTATTGAAATGATAGGATTGGGTAGGAATATCACAATAATAAAATTAGGTAGGCATAATATAATGATAGATTTAAGTAGACGTATCACAATGATAGATTTAGATTAGATAGGCGTATCACAATACAAGTTAGATGAGTGTAACTAAAAAATTCTGTCCAACTACCACAACCACAATAAAGTGTTCTCTTATAGTCTAAATTTCACGGCAAATGAAAGATGGCATTATCGGTGTGATAGAGTGAGATGAACCATCCGCCGTAACCATAATTTGGACTTTAGGAGAAGAACATTCCTCTGATAAATGATGTCTGACTGATAATGTGACTGATAATGAAAAGTGTGTCGATTCCCGAAGGTTGCCAACGAAAGATCGAGAAATAAATTATTTGCTATATTATTTTGTCATGAGCACAATCCATTCAGGTCTAAAATGATTCTTATTTCAACAACGCGGTTAACGTACAAATGTTGTAAAATTTTTTTGACTTTTGCCATAAGTTAACCACAAAGATTGGTTTGATAGGATAGGAAAAATTGATCGTTTAAATTAAAATTAATGAGACTAGGTTGAAGATTGAATAAAGATTGATGATTCCGATTATATTTAAATAGGTAAGAAAATAATGTTACGCCAATTTCTTTATTTTTTGGAATTTGCTGAAACCCAAAAACGTTTTCTCGTCATGCTACCACTCTCTCTTATATTGATTGCGCATTTTGCGCTATCACTTTCTGATGAATTTCAATGTTTTCATTGCCTACCACTTTCTTTGCCACAAATCATCATCTTCTGACATTTGCATTTTTCAATTCACGGAAAAAAAGAATGAATTCTAAGGTTATCGAACAACATCGTCGTCTTATATTTATTTCCATTCAAAATTCTGTTCTGCAGGAGTATCCATGAAACTTATGTGTAAACACTGCTATCGAGTAATTTTCATAAGTAATTAATTTCGTTATTAACTATGCATAATAGTGTCCTTGCCAATTTTAAAATTTGCCATTTGTTAACTCTGCTTTTTTTTGCTTCGATTCTTTGATCTTAGCTATTTATTGTGATAGAACGCCTTTTTTTATCAATTTAAACAATTCAATTTTTAATCTTAAAATTTTGAACTTATGGAAAGATTATCAAATTGCTGAAATTTTTTAAGTGATATTTTTATCAATCATAATTATATTGTTTAGATGAAACTTTGAAAGACTGATTTGCTCATATTTATGGAAATTGAAATGATTAATCACAATTTATGCAAGCGCATATTCCAAATAGTATTTCTTTTGCTCCTCACATAATCAATTGAATACTACTATCATTTTAATAAGAAGATAGATATATTTTGAATAAGATTAAAATCTAGTTTAGAATATGATTTCCAATCATTTAAATAAGAGAAAATTTTTTCTTTCTCACCACCCATTCCCATTTCAGTTGAAGAGAGATATACTTCAGTTGAATTTCCACTCGAAATTTTGCGGAAAAGAATAAATATTAAAAAAATGTTGTCTTCGAATGAAAAGAATTTTATCTATTTTGAACTTTTAAATTCCAAACTATTTTTCTTTCTCTCAATTGGCCAATAATAATTTCTATTTTATCAGTAACTTTTTCTACGATGAAATCCAAATGTTATCAATTTTAATCATATCTATTCATCATGCTAAAATCAATACTAATTGCTATGAAAATTTTCCGAACCAAAATATTTCTCCAAGTTTGCTTCAATTGTTGCATAATTTTTGTATGAGTTTTTTCTTCCTTTCCTTTTTTAAATGCAATAAATATTTATTTTAATACTTTCAACAAATAATTATAACAAAATTTTAAATTAACTTTAATTTATTTCAATTCGATTTGATTAAACTTTCGAAATTTTTTTCTTTAAACTTTAACAAATAAATATTTTACTTCAAAAATTGAAGTATTTTACCATCCATTTGTATACATTACAAAAAGAAGTCAAATAAAATGATGTAATTTAATCTATCTCACTTAGTATCATTCAAAATGATATCTCTCTTCTTTCATTTATTTTTCATTACAAATAGTTTTTCTTTTTCAATACCTTAAAGGTCATATGTACTGCTATTTTTAAATTATTTTTTTATTTTAAAATAAAGATGACACACTGAAATGAATAATCCTTCTTTTCATTAAAGAAGACATCATATCTTCACGTCAGTTATTTTCCTTAAACCATAAACATTTATTACGATGAATATATTGCTTTAAAATACTTTAATGCAAAACTTTTTTCACAAATTCTTTTAAGCCTTTATTTATTATTTTGTTTGTTTGTGTGCTAAACAAAAAAAATGGCTAAACATTATTGAATACATATCATAAAAGATATTATAAAGTAAGAAAGGAAATTGCATTATGCTGACAAGAGTTAACACGATTGAATTGCTATAATAAATCTAGTCAGGTGAGTTTTACATGAAATGAATCTTAAATAAAAATGCTGTCATTTTGCCAGCATCAGCCCATCATATCGATATCCATTCATTACAAATTTAACTTTCACTAAATTAATTTGAACAGAAAGAAAAACGAATAAGAGAAAAGGGCCTTTGTGGAAAAAAACTTTTGTTATATGATAAATTAATCTGAGTAATTTTCTCGTACGACGTTTTACAACATTTTACAACGTTTCATCATATTCATGTTCACGTCAATTTCGATAATGACATTTTCAAACATCAAATTTTTCTTTCTTATAATTGAAAAGAGAAAGAGAAATAAAATAGTATATATGAATTTTTTGAGTCATATGATGATTCATAGGATGGTGAGGTTCAGTTAGTTCCTATTTCAAAAAAATAATGAATTGCTGATTTGAAACGATCATTTTAAAGTGTAAATTTTTTTTTTAAAGTAGTGTGTTGTTTTACGCATCAATAAATTCGTACTTCTTATGGTTTGACCTAAATTTGCAACTTCATATCGATATACATCAGCAGATTTTTATATACTTAATTCCACCTAACTTAAAAATATCAACTAACGTCAGAAAGACATTTCTTGTATTTCTTGTAGAATCATCGGGTATAAACCAATCAGCAATAATATGTTTGTTCATAAATTTCGAATTTAACTCTAATGATTTATATAGAGGAAGAGATATTTTCTGGTGTATTGTCAGATTACATGCGCAATTGATAAGTGATATCATGTTGATTGCTATCATTTCTCCATTTTATCACAACTTCATAACATGTATATTTCATAACATGTATTTTTTCATTTTCTTATCTTTTATACTACTTCTATGATATTAATTTCATATTTATTCTGTTTATAAATAACTATATAATTCAAAAGTTATAGTGAAAATGAATATAGAAGAAATAGAAATATTTATTGATAATAAAATTTATGCAATCACATTTTCACTTCACTAATTTTGCTCATTCTTCAATGAAATAATAATTAATTTAAGAGATGCAAGCATAAACAGCTGCGATGTTTCAGAGAGTTCGAAATACTTTGTAATAAATATTTTACAAAATATGAATTTTTTTCATTTCATTGTTCAATGATAGTTCTCGGAAATTTTCATCATTATTTCTGGATGCCATATGTAAATATTTCATTTGAATGCTAAATGATAGTTAGACATTAACAATTCATCCCCTAAAAAGAGATAGCAAAGTGTCGTTGAACTATTAAAATAGATGAAACCCGAGAAGGCTTAAAATTCAAACCTTTTTTTCTTTTTTGAATTTGAAAAAATATCAAATAAATTTTCTAAGAATTAATAGAAGTCACCCTTGATAAATGAAAATAAAGTAGTTGGGAAGCAGTAGATAGATGACGAACTTGATGGGGTTTAGAATCGATAAAAACATGTCTACTTATAAGTCTAATTATCACCCATATCGATCTATCTATCTATCTACCTATTTATATCTATCTATCTATCCATCTATCTATCTACTTATATCTATCTATCTACATATCTATCTACATATCTATCTATATATATCTATATATATATATATATATATATATATAAGAAAGATAAATACTGAAAACTATATTCTCTATATCAGAAAGAATAATAAATGTTGCAAACGATCGACTAAAAAGGTAGTTATTTGATAAGAATAAAGTACTAGTCATCTTTTGAAGTGGACGATGAAAGAAGAAGGAATAGTAAAGCTGAAATTCATATTTGTTGACTGCTACATTTTTTCAACATAAACAATTTCTATAAAATAAGCCAAGTATTGCATTCGTTGTTATGTGAGTCGCGCTCACCAATCAATTCACATTTTTCTTCTCTTTCAATCTACCTTCCAATATCTTAATTATCAAGTTATCCGGTCCCTCGGATTACCAAAATTTGTCAAGTTCAATCATATCACTTTAATTATCGGAAACTTTATATTATCTAGAGGTTATGTCGGCCAATAAATCATTCTAAATAAATTCAATTATTCCCCCCAAACTATTACTTAATAAGTTGAATTATTAGTATTGTTAAATATATTCCTCAAGAAATTAAAAAAATGTTTATGAATTTGAAACATTAGATAGAAAACGATAAACTTATCAGTAAATGAATCAAAAACAGAACGAAAAATTTTTTCATGCCTTTAAGCATAGAATTATTTACACATACATATATGTAAGATTATTTATTGATTAGCAAAATTTCAGCAACCTAAGTAGTTTTTATCTGAAATTTCTATTTTTTTTTTCATCAAAAGTTATTGAAATAATGCAAAAAATAATTTTTACCTTTTCATTAATAAATAAATTAATTCCATAAACTTGCATTATAAGCAATGAAGAAAATTGTAGAACATAAAGGGAATTAGTTACGGAATTCGGACGAAAACCTGATTTCGGACAAATATATCAAAGTTAATGAATTTATGCGGTCAGTGAAAAACATTTTTTTCAGGCATTGTCCACTCAAACCAGAAGTGGGAAAAGCTTGCAAAATGCGGGATTATTATGAATCATTTCAGTTTGATAATATCGTACACTTTCGAAATTTCTTGCTTTTGCATTGATTAATTAATAATTTTGATTAATTAATCATAGAGGAACAGAACGCTATGATACATTTTAATGATTATTATTAAATAAGCAAATTTTTTCGGATGAATGCTTTTAGTTTCGATTGAAACATAAAACATTTCTCACTAACTTCCGGCATTTTCTTTACTTTGCTAATATTGTGCTTAACATTACATTTTTCATTGAAATTATAAACCTTTCACCTTTTGAAATTAATTGTTAATGACAAAATTTCTCTTTTACTTTTTTTATTTGCGACATCGAATCATTTTTTATAAATTTTTATAAAACAAAAATTTGAAGGAAAAAAAGAGAGAAAAGATTTTGCAACGCATTTTGCAATGATATACTATTATTTTGGGCTCACTCATTTTTAATTAATTAAATTTGATTTCTATTAACAATATATATACATATATATATATATTATTGCATTCATTAGCACAGTATTATTGATTGCATTCATTAACATAGTATTAAGATAAAATAATCAATAATACTAAGTTATAATATCGAAATAATCAATAATACTATATTATAATATTGCGTTTACTAGCATAGTATTATTGATTATTTCAATTTAAAATGCTAATTTGTTTTTTTTTTTCAACATTTTTTACTTAATGTTGTGAGAGATAGATTTTAAAATACACAGCAAAGCTATTATACATTGATTTCTGTTAAATATCAATAAGATTGTTTTAACCTTTGATCATATCTTTTTTTTTTCTCTTTTTGAATGTAATTAATAATTAAAATTTCGTCATTAACAGTCAATTCATTCGTATTCGTTCGATCGTATCGTAAATATATAAAAAAAGAATTGCTTAATCGATCATTGGCACATTCTAAATTGTACGAACAATTTTATATCATTTTAAAATATTCTTAAATGATTGGCATCAAATTGATAGAATTTTGAATTATCGCTTGATAATACATTTCCTAAGAACAATTACATATTCATCGAAAATTGCACTCTTGAAAATACAAATGTAATTTTTAAAAGAATTTGCAATTAATTTTTGATTAAGATTGAATTCAATTCACAGGTGATACTTATTTTATATGCAAAAGTGTATGTATTTAGAGGAAGCCAAAAGTTTGCAATTTTTGCAAATATTAAAAAACGATGAAGTGAGGAGAAAGAAGCTTAGCTATTTCCTGAATTGTGAGCTTATTTCTTCTTGTCATTCTATCAAATAAATTCCATTAAAGCTCTCATTCTTTCTCTCTCTCTTACCTTCTTACTTCGTCACTTTTCTTAAACTCTTCGTTCATTTAAATTTAGCAAAATTGTGATGAAAATTGTAATGTTGTTATGCTAATGATTCTGTTCCTCTTTTTTCATTCATACGAATAATTTTATTTATTTCATTAATCCATCGAAAGTCTCAAGAATCCACTCCAATCCATGGAGAATCACAAGAATCCACTCCAATCCAAAGAATTCACTCCAATCCATTGTGAATCTCAAGAATTCACTCCAATCCATTGAGAATCTCAAGAATCCACTCTAATTCATTGAGAATCCCAAGAATCCACTCTAATCCATTGAGAATCCCAACAATCCACCCCAATCCATTGAGAATCTCAAGAATCCACTCTAATTCATTGAGAATCCCAAGAACCCATTCTAATCCATTGAGAATCCCAACAATCCACCCCAATCCATTGAGAATCTCAAGAATCCACTCCAATCCATTGAGAATCTCAAGAATTCACTCCAATCCATTGAGAATCTCAAGAATCCACTCCAATCCACTGAGAATCCCAAGAATCCACTCTAATCCATTGAGAATCTCAAAAATCCGTTCTAATCCAATTTATCACTCGAGAAAGTAATTATAAAAGAGAGAGAGAGAGAGAGTAGTAATGTTGATTGGATTGATTAAAATTTAGATTTGCCTATCTTTAATGTATCACTGATATGAATAATAATCATTCACACGTTGTTGAAATGTGGGAAAAGGATAGTAAATGGAAAAAAAATATTTTTGAATTTCTCTTTTTGTGTGAAAAATGAAATTTTCTCAAATAAAAAATATAAAGGGAAAATGAAAAGATTTATAGCTGTTAGAGTGTGGAAAAATATAATTAAATGAAAGTATGGCATAATAATTTGATAAATATTATTGAATAACCAGGTACAATAAATAGACAGATAGAATAAAATAGACGGGTAGAATAAATCGATGGAATAAATAGACAGTACGGTAGATTGAAATGAGCTCATTTTGTGCACATTCTCATTTAATTATTGTGTAATAATTATACTGTTAAAATAAAATAGTTATAATACAGTTAGCACAGTTAATAAACATTTCTATCTATACTGTTCCAAAATTCTTCTTAACTTATATTTTCAAATTTAGCATAAAGAAGAATTCTTTCAGTTTTATTTTCTATAAAATGATATAGTAAGATTTAAAATTTTTCTTTTTTATCCCAAATAGCACTACGAACTTTTTTCAATACTTTTAAATTTCAATTTAATTTTTTAATTATCTTAATTAATTGGTAAACAACTGAAACAATAATCACACGATTGAATTGTGTTCTGTTCCAAATTTTGAAACATTTTCATTTTTACAATTTTCCAATTATTAATATTGTATTCATTCTATTTTTTTTGTTTAACATTGCAAATTCAAAAGTGTAAATTCGATGTTTAATCTCTGATCATGGACCGCTTCAAAAATCGAAAATTTTGTGTATTTCATAGTTCATTTTCATGATTAAAGCTTTTTCCCTCTCTCTCTCTCTCTCTCTCTCCCTCTTCTTTCAATCTCTTAGTTTATATGATTCATGTAAACATAACCAAGTTGTGAAAAGAAAGGAAGCATTTTGTTAATTCAAATTTATACATTTAGTTTTCTCTTCAAAATATCTGCTATTATTTAAATGATAACCTTAAATTATATTGAATGAACTAAATTTTGATGTATAAAATATATAAATGTGACTTCATAAATATTGATTTGAAAACGATCAAATAATGCAATTAACTAATAGAACTTATTGTGTAAGAATCGTAATTCAAGAAAGTTCTATAAGTTGAGAGAAGAGAGAGAGAGAGAAAAAAAGAAAGAGAAATGAATTATAGATATAGATGTGTATGTATCCGTAGGTCATCTTATTATATAGGTCATCCCATTGTTTACCCATCGATTTTTTTGTTTTCGTTCGGATGAATTTCTCGTAATAATAGTTTATTGCTAACAAATTAAGGTACATTTCTGTCGTCACTAAATCTTAATTTTTTTATCATTAATTTGGAGGAATTCATTTGGAGAACAAAATGAATTTACTTTTTAATTTATCAAACAATTTCATAACTTTGATAGAGATATTTAATTAGCTATGGATAACAAAATTGGTTTTACCATTCATAAACGGTCTTCATTAATCCTTATCATATCAGCTGTTTGATGATTTTGATTGAAACAACACTTCTGGTTAGTTAGTGTATCTGAATTCCTGGAAGTAATGAAGTAGTTGCAGTGAAATAGCAGAAGTTAAAAATGAGTACTATTTGTTTATCATCTCAAATCCATGAAAACTACCCCGAATTTTTCCTGATTTTGTATGTTTCAAAATTTCGGAATTCTCAATTCAAGACATGAATTTCGATTTCACGGCATTCAGTTTCACACTATAATTAACTGGAACCACATTTTTGATTTCCTTTGGGAATACAATCTTTCCTGTTTATCACTGATTTTTAACTAATATCTAAATTATTCGTATGAATCGAGTCAGCCTTAATCGTATCAAACGTGCCAATAAATAATCAAATATCTGTTTAAAGAAAAACATTTCTTCACAAGTCTTTAAATTTCTTACTAAAACATAATTTTAGATGGTATCTCTGAAGCAAGAGTTCCAATTTTACGATTATTTGGGACCATTTGTTGTAATATCATTATTCGCCATCGCTGTATTATTAATTTCATTCTTCATCCTTAATTTCTTCTTCATTTCAAAATACGATGAACCAACCGTCTTCGAACGTGTAAGTTAACCATATTTCAAGTACTTCATTTATCATAGTGATAAAGACCATATGATATCAATGAATTATACTTTCTGTCCAAAACTTTCATTGGACTGTTTTCTCTATCGAGATCCTTTACATTTATCATGAATTATGAATAACATCTATCAACCAAATCAATAAGTAAGACAAAAAATAATTTAATATTTGAGTTAAAATTTCAAAAATTTAAACAAGAAATAATTGAGATTTTTCTGCGATTCCTCGCTTATCAGCTATTAGTAGTAAATGAAGAATTATTCACTTAATGCTTGCTGCAGCTGTTCCTATGCTACAGATTGCCTCGAAACATAATCTAAGGCTTGGACCACACAGTGTGAAAACTGTGATAAGTCGTAAGCAGCGATATATGAAGGATAATAGTAGTGGTAATCCGGATGGATCAGTGAATGAACCTCGAAAAGTTGTATTCACAAAGGAACCGAAACCTGAAGTGAACATCAATTACACCTAATTCTCTAAACGACATTCTTTAACGTATTGGGGACATTTACGATTGGTTACAGCGTTACTTAAACGCTTATACGGATGTTTACTTCTCGCTATAATATTTAGTGTCCATCTTTCTGCTGCTTTACTTTTGCTACCAAGATGAATTTCAAACAAAGATAAATTCAAGATTTAAAAGTTTTAATATAAGGGAATTTAAATTTTATTTTCCGACAACACTGAATTGATTCTTATTGGGTTTTCTTCATAATTAAAGTGCATTTTATTTTGGTTTATTTGGTGAAGCGCAGAATTTGTTTATAACATTTAAGAATATTTTTGTTGTATTACTGTATAAAAAATAACATTTATAGTTGTAACTTTTATGCATTTTTTTAATTTTATAACTTTTCATTAGTAACTGTCTCATTTTTCTATTTACAAGAGACGTTAATGTACAAATTAATTATTTAGTAATATCATTTTAATATGAGAGATTGAAATGTGAGTGTTTCGAAATTTCCAAAGTGTTGTGTTTTTAAATGCAATATAGAAATCAAATTAGCATTACTATTATATATCTGCACAGAATGTGCGGTTGCAAAAATTTATGCACATTTTGCAAGTAGCCATTGCTAGTTATGACATTGTTTTACATCTCCAGCATTGCTAATTATCCCAACTATTTTACTGTATCTATGTCCTCTCTCAGTATCGATCTAAAATCAGGTATTATGATACTTCATTTCAATAATAACAAAACTAAATAAAGTTAATAGTTTGGGAGCTAAAACCTACAAAGATTGTGATGGCGTGAAGCATGCAATAATTGCAGATCAAATTCCTTTCCAACTTCATCTTTACATTTTGTATATCAATATTACCATTACTTATTATTAATGATTATTATTATTAATTACTATTATTGTTATTTATTATTATTATCATCAATTATCATCGTTATTAATAATTATTATTAATTATTATTATTTATTATTATTAAATAATATTATTATATATTATTGCTATTTACTATTATTATTATTATTGTTATTATCATTATAATTAACTAGTAACTACTATTATTTATTATTATTATTCACTACTATTTATTATTATTATAAACTATTATTAATATTAGTAATTATTAATTATTGTTATTGTTAATTGTTATTATTATTATTAATTAATAATAATTATTAATTAATAATAAGAATTTTACCTGTATTACACAACGACCAACACTCGAATTTGAACCGTTTTGTACAACCAAATCACCAGCTTTTAAATTCACGAAGTCTTTCAACATTCTGTAAGCTGTTGGGGGATTGACCTAAAA